ACACAAGTGGGCAGTTTGAGTACGTGTGCAGGGCCATTCACAGTGGAACAGTTCAGCCATTCTCACACTGGCCCATTCTCCTCTGCTGTAACTACAATGCACAGTACTGATGACGGCATCTGCAGCCTTCCTTGTATTGTCCCACGCAGGGATGTGAGGAGGCAGCTGCTTCAGGACATCTCACTGTATCCGCTCATTTGTAGGAGATGTTATAATATTAATGTATATTACAGTGAGACATATGTTAATCGCCAGTGATACATAATAAACAGGTTGGTCCATTTTAGCCATTAAACCAAAATGTGTTTTAATGATCCAAAGCAGCCTCTTATTTGTTGAAGGGGAATATATTTCAATGTTGTATATTAAGCCTTTAGTGGCTCCAGAGCAGAGGGAGATGTATGAAGTCTAGGGTTTCCCACACATAGACTTAACTTTTTTTAACTTTTTTTTATTCGTCCGCGATCACGATCGATTAACGATCGATCGATTAAATTGTGGACAATGATCCCTCGCTCTATGCCTCCTGTACACAGTCCCGGACTGGCCATCGGGAGGACCGTTGGGTTTCCCGATGGCCTGGCCTGTTAAGTGGCCTGCTGGCCTGAGGATATTTTGGGTGACTGGCTGTCTACATGATGTGGCCTGCCGACATGGCCACTGTGATACAGCTCATAAATCAAAGCCCTTGATTGGTCTCTGTGTGTCATTCAAGCTCGGGATAACCTCAGCTCAGGTGAGGTAGTGTTTAGATAGTTAACTTAGTCTAAGTTCACAGTGGGTCTCAAATGGTTTGGTCACCATTTATGTAAACACATATTTCCATTTGAGGGTGTCAGTGTTTTTTTCATATTGGAAATGGTATGTTATTGGTAATGGCCATGCATTTATGATCATTGAAATGTATACAGTTCTGTTTCATATAGGTGTTTCCATATATCTAGTCTCTTTATTTTCCCCTCAAAGTGCACCAGATTGATGCATTTAACTCCAAAATAAAAAATAAAAATCTTACCGGGGGAGCATGCCCCCAGACCCCCCTAGAGGATTTGAGGCCCACCCCCACTTAAAATCACATGGACAGGTTCCTAAATACATTTACAATTTTTTAAAATAGCAACCCATGTCCATATGTGTATTTGTGTGTAGTAGATTTAAACTATAGGGCTATCACTATGGGCCCTGCCTGTACGTGTTCGCTCTGCCATCGCGTGAAGGGTCTGCTAACAAGCGACCAACAGAAAGGTTCATGTTAATGTTGTTGCACGTCACAAAGGCACGTCACCTCAACCCCCCCCCCCCCCCCCCCTGCTACCACCACCCCCCACGTATATTTCAGATCTGTGGGAAACACTGAAGTCTGATACATTTAATCAAGTTAAGCATGAAGCTCTTTACTGTTCAAAACAGCGTCTTGAGTGTCATTTTGTTTAAACTTATACAGGCTACATACTTTTTCAGACTAACATAGCCTACAGTTAAACAAAATGTGGGTTGGAAACACAAATATATAAACCATAAACAAGGAGAAACTATTTCCTGGATTCTGATAATAAATTGACACCCACCTACAGGAAAATAGTACAAAGTTGAGCGATGAAAAAGGCAGAAAGAGTTTCTATTCTACTTGTGTCGTGTGAAACTGTAGATGGGACATTCAACTTGAACTTACAGATTCACACTGTAGCCCATATATGGTCCTCTATAGGTATGGAACAATTTCTAGTTAAATATTAATTATGTTGTGTAGGTTTGGGTAAATCAAGAGGACAATGTAAATTCACCAGACCTCTTTCTTTCCTCCTCTGATCAAACTGCTCGGCAATGCATTGTGGATAATGTAGTCACCAGGGTATGACGTGGAAGAATGAAAAATAAATACCATCATATATCCGGTTCTGCTTATCTCTTTAATGTTTACAGGAGCATGAGGCTTAATCAGGGAAATGTTTGTCAAGCGACATGTTTACATTTTGTTATTTTGGGCAAAATGCATTTTGAAGTTCAGCTAGGCTAATATTAGCAATGTGAGTTTTTCAAATGAAGGGGGTCTTCCGAAGTTTATGGTCTTTTTTATGGCCTATCCACCATGTCCACCAAAAGACTAACTGGGAGATTCAAAAAATTGCAAAAAACTTTATTTTAACAAAACACTACGACCATTAGAATTATGCCAACAGAACATATATTTTTTAAAACAACAAATGTTCATTAATAATAACAATCTAAGCAAATATATTTCCAAACGAAAGAAAATGTACCAATAATAACTTTAAATGCTGTACATATCTCATGGATTAATGTATTGTATTTATAAGGGTTTATTAAAAACATCATAAACATCAGTCACGAGTTCCAAAAAATTCCAAGGGAAAGTGATTCCTGTGTATTGGGTGTGTTGCGCAAACAGAAATCACAACCCCACGTATGAGCGCGCACTTTGTTGTCAGAGTGATGGAAGTCGGACCAAAAAGGGAGGAGGGGGAGGAGTTTACCCGGGTCTGTTGTATAGGCAGGGAGGAGGAGTTTTGTCATTCAGTAGAAGAGGGGAGAGCCTGCTGACCGCTGCTGATAGACACAAGAGGAGGATTGGAGTTGAGCGGAAGAAAGTGTGTGTGGTGAAGTAGAAGAAATTTTTAAGCAAGGATCTGGGATTTGATTTAAACACACAGGAACACTTTCCTTTTTTCCTTGTCGGATTATTCCCAAGCTCTGATGCTGTCCCCGGATCATGAAAGAAACGCTCACCATGAAGTTCGTCTGGAAAAGTAAAATGGTAAAAACAAAAACGCTTTTCCATCCTGTGCTCTGTTGTTGAGTCTGTGGTTTGGATGAGAGGGGGGAAGAAAAGGTGGGGGGCGTTTGGGCTTGGGAAAGTAGAGGATAAAGGGGTGTATAGGAGGAGGGGGAGCAGCGGGGGAACACATGAACATTGAGTTTTAATTGTGTTTACCAGAGTCTAAATCCAGTTTAGCCTACATTGATGTCGTCCAAAGTTAGGAAATATGGTGGGGGATCACAGACGATAAAATCACCTTGCGACTCCGCCAGTATATGAACTCGATCCGTTAGCTCTCCCCTCCCTGATGGTGAATATGAGAACTTTTGTGTGGGGGCCCGTCGGGAACAATTGGCGTGGCCCTGGGGCCATTGCTGCCTCTCCACGGGTCCCAGCTGCGTCCAGGCAAGGACAACACAAAGCCAACAGAGCAGCGTCAGAGATTTAGAACAACTGTTGTTGTTGTTGTTGTTGTTGTTGTTGTTGTTGTTATCTCAGGAGTATTGTTTCACAGACAGCTGATAGGCAGATTAGAACTATTTGCTCTCTTTAGTTTCATCCCTGTGCTCTTTTTGAGCATTTTAGGGATCCAAGCTGTAGTGCAGAGTAAACAACCCAGCCCTTGTTTACATCATAGGGTGTATTTGATATTGTGTGCTCTCTAAAGGCATCCCTGTCTGCTGTGTAATGTTGCTCTCCTGTATTCTCTGGTGAATAGAAAACATCACAGTGGCAACAAGTTTTACTTTTTGCTTTTCATGCAAGCTTTTGGAACTTTGTCTCACAATAAGCCCCCACCTTGCTGCACAAAGCAGAGCAGAGCCTCTTTTAAAACCCTGCTCTGAAAAACATCTCCAGTTCTGTGGCTGATAAAGCAGGCTGTGTGTGCAGACTGTGAACTCAGCAGCCCGGCCAGCACAGAGACCTCCTGCTATTGTTTTGGGAGTGTGTGGACTGCATGACTCATGCACTGATGTATTTATCTGTCTCCGCGCCAGCCGGCCATCCACTAGCAGCTAGAGAGATACGCACTGACCTTACAGCAAGATGCTGAGCTGTGTGGCGGACAGGCATGTGGACATGTTTCAGACAAATGCAGCTTGTGACATTTGAAGAAACAGACATACTAATGTTTTTGTCAGCCAGAGGCAGTTAAAACCCTTTTTCTTTTAACTCCACCTCTCTTTTTCTCTCTCTGTGTTTTTTTTGTGTGGGCTTTCTTTTCATTTTCAGCATCACATGTTTCTGTTCGAACCCAAACACCCTAACAGTTATGGCCGAGTGCCACCGGCCTCCAGGACTGTCCATTGAGCCTGTTAACGGGCGACGTTGACCCTTAACCTCTCTTCTGGCTGTGGACATTGCCATTGAGCTGTGTAGATGAAAGTGGGGACAAGTGAGAGTGATCTTGGCCTGTGTGTGAGGACTTGGCCATAATACTGCATATGTGTGGTGTTTATATTTGGCCAGTCCCTCTCTCGCTGTCTCTGCCTCTGTTTTTGTCTCTGTCTCCATATGTTGATGTCTCAGCATATCTGTGACTGTGTTTTGGCGCACTCTCTCTGAGCAGGAGTTTAGTATTTTGATTTCCCTCTGCTCGCTCTGATTGTTTATTCACTGTTTGTCAGTGATTTACAACCAGAGGCAGACGCAGTACATATGGAGCAAGCCGAGCACAAATCTATTTAGAGTTATGAGCCGATTGAAAGCGCGTTTTGTAATCAAGCTCCCTTGGCTTGTATAATTAGCAGACAAACAGACAGAGACATATCAACATGTTTTGTTTTATTATGTAGGGGTTTGTTTAAGAGACCTTCTGGCTCTTATCTCCAGTTTTCTAAACGCCAGTAAAGCAGTCCAGCTCTGACTTCACCTCAGAGAGAGGGGGACGGGTGAAAGAGATGGATAGGGAATAAAAGAGGGAGTAAAGGCAGGGAGGAAGGCCTGGCAGGCTGCAGTGATGGGGGTTGGGGAGTTGGTCATTCTTGATGTTTTACTGCACTTTAGTCCTTCTTTCACCAGTTTGTTTGAGTGCTGTGGTCCTGAGTGTTTTTCTGATGCTTCCTTCTGCTTTTCTCAGTGATGTTTCCAAAAATGTCAGTTCCTATTTTGTTAACTTACAGACACTTGGCCTGCAGTTTTAAATACAGAACATTATTATATTTAGATGTATCCTTTGCACATCTTGTCCTCTGCTAACTTTCCCCTCTCTTTCTTGCAGAGCTCGGTGCAGGACTGGGGGGAGGAAGTCGAGGAAGGAGCGATCTACAATGTGACACTGAAGAGGGTTCAAATCCAGCAGGCGGCCAACAAGGGAGCAAGATGGCTAGGGGTGAGTGAAGTCTCACAGTGTAACAGAATCACAGCTGAGCGAGCTTTTCCAAAGAAGAAACCCTGAGCGAAACAGATTACACAAATGAAAACCCAATACTTATTTTTCCCACTCTTTTAACCTGTAAATGTGCAACATGTGAACCGCTGATTTATCCCCAAAGTGGAAGAGTTTCTACCTTGGAATTTATCATGTGTAGATGTTTTTATAAAAGCAATCATGTGTGCAGACTTAACATAAAAAAACAGAACCTAATCTCCATTGTTTAAAGCAGACTGTGTCTTTGAATAGCGGGGCGTCCCAGCATTGTGCTCCACAAGGGCTGTTGTTTTAACATTTGAGCTATAAATCTCCCTGTGTTAGACAACACCTGCTTAGCTGCCTGCTGAAAATCAGATCTGCACTTTAACCAGACCTGGGCTGTTTAGCCAAAGCATGTGATTTCCTGACTTTCCCGACTGCCAACTGAACTGCTCGCTCCCCTGTACAGCAGTGTTTTCTAAAATACCACTATGACAAAAAAAGGGGTATTAAAGGCTTTTCCTTGAGTTGTACATTTTTTCAGTGCATTGGTGTTTCCTCCAATGTGCTGTTTACATCAACATAATGAGGTTTATATAGTTATTATACTGCATAGAGGGGCCCATTAGATCATTAGTTTCTTTGTGGGCTTTCTACTAAAAGAATGAATGCACCCAGTGGAAAATAAATTACAGATGCATGGTCTTTGTTTTCTAGAAAAATAATCAGGATCTCGTGTTGTTGGTTTGTATCACTGTTGAGTTTTTGTTCTCCACATGGGGGATGGTGAATGGCACATAAAAGCAAAATAGATAACGGCTCCGACTGTATTGATGTATTGGCGCCGCAAACTGTATTCGAGCTAATTAAAATAACATGGGAGCTTTAGTACTGAGTATTGAGTCGAGTAGAATAGAGACTGATCCCTATTGAGTATCAGTATATTTACTATACACAGTCCATTGTCATCGAATAAAAGCAATTACTGTGCAATGCGTGGGATTGTACACTGATGTATGTTTACAGTGTGAAGGGGTATTTAGTGGATTCGGTTGCAAATTCAGTGTATTTGTAGTTGATTGTGAGAAGCCTGTGTGAGTGTGTTGTTATGGGAGGGGAGCGGTGGGAGAAGTTGGCTGTCCCCCGCTCTGTCTGGAGGGACGGGGGAGGAGGGGCCTGCTGTGATTAAAAGCAGATTGGAGAGTTTCCTGTTGTAGCGTGCTAGGTCTCTTTCTCTCCATGTCTGTGCCACCTCCTCTCATGCTCTCCCCTGCCTGTTTTGTAACCTCTCAGTCTATTTAGCTGTCGACAAAATAGTCCGACACTTTTAGAGAATTAAAAGTAATTGTCCTTACCACCTTTGAGTTCTGAGGACTTTCTCCACTCCTGTCATGTCACGTTTTAAATCGGAATCGGGTTTACGGCCAAGTAGTTTTACACATACATGGAATTTGCTTTGGTGTATAATGGGGCATTCAATACAATAAGAACAACTAAGTTGTAAAAAAAAGATATTTTCAAAACATACTATAAAATAAACTATAACTATAAAACCTGTACAATAATATTTTTAAAATACATATACAAAAAATTAAGTTTAGTAAAGAAAAGTCAAATTTACAATTCACCCTGATAATAAAATATGTGCAGTATTTCAGAATTTTAAGTAGCAGAGCTCAAATGCAATTTATTTTGTTTTGTGTGGGAGTGGTCAAACAAGACGACCTCACACATAAAGAAGTTTATAGGCTTAATTAAACAAGAACCATGCATACAAATGTATCAAATATGACTTTAAGTCAGCTATTAGCCGAGTCCCTCGACAGGTACATAACAATCAACAGACACTGATAACAATACAAACTTACACTATTTTTATTTCTATTTCTTTTTTGTTAGAGGAGCCAGAGACTGAAGTGCATATGATAATAAAGCCTTTGAATCTAGTCTCTATCACAATTACAATTATAAAGACAGATCAAAGCCACGATTAACATACGAAATAATATCAATCTGCGATAAATTCAAAGCCAAACAAAGAAAAATAAAGGCTTTGAAAGCACCACCAGCCAAGTCACAGTGTTACATTATAGCATTCCTCATCTTTTAAACAGTATAAAAATATGTGTTGTGTGATTTTAGCTGGAGGGGGATCGTCTGCCTCCCGGCCACACGGTGAGCCAGCTGGAAACCTGCAAAATCCGAAGTATCCGTGCAGGAACACTGGAGCGTCTGGTGGAGACGTTATTGACGGCGTTCGGAGACAATGACCTCACCTACACCTCCATCTTCCTGTCCACCTACAGAGCCTTCGCCAGCACTCAGACTGTACTGCAGCTGCTGCTGGACAGGTAGGCTGGAGTCAAGTGTTGCATGAAGCCGGAATAATGCACTGACTTGACTTTTTAGTGGTTTTAAATTGCTTTCCTTTTTTCCTGTTGCAGGTATGGAAGTGTGGAGGAGCAGGAAGGGGGCAAATGCTCTGAAACTTATGTAGCCATCAGAAGGTGAGATTCATTTGTATACATCCATCACTATAGGTTCCATATGCACAGATAACTTTGGTATATCAACATTTTATATTTTATATTGCTGCATCGATTCAGTTGTCTTGTGTCTTATCTGTCAGAGAGAAACCATTATTTATTTTATTTTTATTATCATACATTTTACCTCCTGGTGTCTATTAACCTGATCAAATGTTATATTTTGCTGCATGTACCTGTAAAGTTCTTAACAAATAATCTGAGGGGAATTTCTTGTTGTTTGTTTGTAACTTGTGATCATTTTGTAAAGCACTTTGAGCTGCATGTGTTGTATGAAAAGTGCTGTATAAATGAAGCTTTATTATTATATGTTTCAGCAGTTTAGCTGACTTGTCCTTCCATCGTTGCCAACTCTTAAATCTCTCCCTGCTGCCTCCACAGTGCCTTGGCCTCCATCCTGCGTGCCTGGCTGGACCAGTGCCCCGAAGACTTCCAGGAGCCCCCCGACTACCCCTGCCTCCACCGGCTGACTGACTACCTGCGCAGGGCCCTGCCGTTGTCCGAGGCCCTGAGACGGGCGGAGGGTCTGCTTGAGCATCTGCAGAGTCAGAACAGCATGGAGGACCCTGATGGTACCTAACAGAGTGACTTTTAAAATGGTTTTATAACATATCGTTTTTAAAGGTCCCCTATTATACGGTTTTCATCAATATATTATAGGTCTCAGATATATATACAAAACATATCTCTGAAGTGTTTGGCTCCAAATACCAAACAGATCATTGCAGCATCCCATAATCCCCTCTGTTTCAGCCCTGTTTCAAAAGTGCTGATTCTCTGTCTGTTACTTTAGATGAAAATAAGGAGCCCCTCCCCACGCCCCTCTGAGAGATATCTGGTTAAAAAGAACACAATGGTGCTCTAGGAGGAGATTCAGGTGATAAGGTGTGGGGGGGGGGTTACCTTGGTTGGTGATTGGCTAATGGTTACACAAGCCAAAAAAACATTATGACATCATAAGGTGGGCAAAATCTGATCAGCTCATTCTCAGACAGGTTTTTATATAAATGGATCAGGACAGAAAGAGAGAATCTTTGTTCCTGAAACAGAGGGGACACATGGTTATGTATAAAAGACATGAAAAAGTAGGTGACCTTTAAGGGCTTCTAAATATACTGTTATTTTAGTTCATCATGTTAGCTTGCATGACGCACACACTGCAAACATACTTGATCATTCACTCAGGGATCTTTTTGAGTTAGTTGAAAGATAGCACAAGTAGGAGAATTCATCATGTTACAATTATCCATCGTCTTTTTTTTCTTGGTTAATTTTGGTAAAATCTAGAACCATATTGGATTTTTTTTAAACATTTAATTCAATTAATTTAACAAGCAATTGTTATCTTTTAAAAAGTATAGTAAAAGCAGCAGAACTCCGTACACTTTAGTATCTGATGGTAACTTTCTCAGATATTAATTGCAAGTAATATATTGCGTTATTCCACAACTTATTCAATATGTTTCAAAGTTTGTGCAAACATAGTTCTTTGTTGTGTACAATACTTTCACATGTTTTCATCTTAATAAAGTTAATATCACAATATTCCTCATTTTGTGTAATGATAGCATTGTTCTGTAAAGTCTTTTTTTTATCAAATTTCATCTGTTGTTGTCTGCTTTCAGTTGGTTTCCACGGCAACAGCTCTTTCTGTCTGGGGGAAGAGGAGGAAGTGGAGATCGAGGTCCAGGAGGACTTCCTGTCGTTCGAGTCCGACCTGGTGGCCGAGCAGCTAACATACATGGACGCGGTGAGTGGAGCGAAATGAGAGGGAAGTGGGTGGATGTGCAGTGTGTGTTGTTTGGCGGGAAAAGATTACAACTTTTATTCGATTTTATTGTATTTACTTGTACTATTGTATCTGTTTTATTGTGATGCACTGTTGGGGGAGCCTGTGACCTAAGACTTTCATCGACATAACTACACTGTAGCAATGTACGAATGACAATAAAAGCCTTGAACCTTGAATTGAAACAGGTTACATCCCTGCGACTTTCCTCACTGTCGTCATACTAACATCAGCCTGTTGTTCTTCTGCTTCCAGCTGCTGTTTAAAAAGGTAGTGCCCCACCACTGCCTGGGCTCCATCTGGTCTCAGAGGGATAAGAAGCACAACAAGCACAGCGCCCCCACCGTGCGCGCCACCATCACTCAGTTCAACGCTGTGGCGGCCTGCGTGGTCAGCACGGTGCTGAAACACAGACAGATCAGACCTCATGTCAGAGCGCGGGTCATCCAGCGCTGGATAGACATCGCTCAGGTTGGCAAAAACATACATACATTCATCTCAAAGCCTACCACAACATGGGGCAAATTATAACTGTCCTTGTGTCTTTTTCTCCTACCAGGAGTGTCGAATACGCAAAAACTTCTCGTCTCTGAGAGCCATCGTATCTGCGCTCCAGTCCAACCCTCTGTACAGGCTCAAGAGGGCATGGGCCTGTGTGCACAAGTAAGTGTTGGTTGTAGAATCAGCCTTTTTGCAGAATAGATGCTTTTTGCGCATATATTTTAGCCAAAACGTTCATTACCATAACTAACATGAAGGTTTCTTCACACAGAGACAGCATGCAGACATTTGAGGAACTCTCAGACATTTTCTCTGATCACAACAACTACCTGACCAGCAGGGAGCTCCTCATGAGGGTGAGCTCCAACTCCAACATGAATTGAATTTCATAGAGATCTGCAAAATGAGTACATGTGGTATCCGCTGTGGAATCCCAGATTTAAAGTATGTAGTTGTTACTGAAACAGACATGGGACTTCATCTGTAAATCTTAAAAGCATTCCTTCAGTCACTGGTGAGAATCTGGAGGACTCATGCTGCGTTTGTGTTGTTTGCTCTACAGGAAGGCACTTCAAAGTTTGCCAGTTTGGAGAGTTGTGCCAAGGAGCATCAGAAACGCACCCACAAGAGACTGCTGCTGCAGAAGGAAATGGTGAGACAAAAGCTTCTGAAACAAATGCCTGACAAATTGATCAAAGACAGCTAAAACCACACTTTATAATTTAACACAACACATTCCTCTTAAGTAATTTACTGTAAAGTGAATTCTAGGCTCTTTGGTTTAATGAAGCCACATGCTTAGCTGTGTTTACACTCTGCTGTACTTTCACTAAGCATGTGGTGTATATACAAAACCCACCCTGGCATCTGTAAATCACAGTTGTAAATGAGTCTCGTGTTTTATTGTGGCATCCTTGAAATATTTATTTAAATGTCTTTCTCCACAGGGAGCCATGCAAGGAACAATACCTTACTTGGGGACCTTTCTAACCGACCTCACCATGCTGGATACAGCCCTGCCTGACATAGTAGAGGTAAGGAAAATCTTGAACTACCTGCTGAATGTGAGGGTGTTTCGGTATGTGGGAGCAAGTGTCGGCGGGGTGACACAGCTCTGCAGATCTGAGTCTATCTGCGTAACTGCTGTCAGAAACCAGGGCGTACATTTCCATGAGAGCGTGAGGAATTTCTGTCAGCACATTTTTGAAATGGTCCATCTAATGCTGTTTGTGTACGCGGCCACTGGTATGTGATGTCCGAGGTCTGACAGCGTGCCCTTTGTGTCCTCCGTAGGGTGGTCTGAACAACTTTGAGAAGAGACGAAGGGTAAGTGAATCTGAAAGCGACCTCCTCTGATATGATCATACCGTGACATTCATCCCCAGGTGTGCTCAGGTGACATGTGATCTAACTTGCTCTCCGTCTCTGCAGGAGTTTGAGATGATCGCTCAGATCAAGCTGCTCCAGTCGGCCTGCAACAGCTACTGTCTGACTCCAGAGAAGACCTTCCTCCGCTGGTTTAAGAGCCAGGTGCTGCTCAGTGAAGAAGAGAGGTACTGCTGCTTTTCAGAACTCCCCTTTTCCTTATTGCTCCGTCATCCATGAGATCAGTGGTTCCCAACCAGGGGTACGGGATCCATTGGGATACTTGACAGGAATGCCGGGGATACATATAAAGATTAGGGATTGCAATTGACTTCCAAACAAAAAACAATCAATTTTCATAAGCCTGATGTCCTGCCCCCAGAACTACCAAAGCTTATGAAAGACAAGCAAGCTCAAATCTCATTAAAAGCTCTAGTGACATATTAAAATACGTTGAAACTGCCAGAAGTGAGTCTTCATTTTATTTATTTATTAGTTTATTCCACTCCTCCTGGCACTTATTATAAAACAAAACACGTACACTTTAAGCAGTTTTCGTTGCCCACGATGGAAAGGAGCACCGAGTTAAATTCTTATTTAACACGAACCCTTATTCAAAAATCAATGGTCTGTCAATCACAGCTGCTTAAAAATACTTAAAGTAACATGAAACCAAACACAATTAAAAGTAAACACAACAATCTACCATCAGGTTATCTTCATACTGTCTAATTATTCTTTCTTTATACATTTTCTTAAACCTGGAGATGTTCATAAATCATTTGGTAAAGAATTCCACAGTTTATCGCCAGATACAGATACATCTGTTTTAAAGTAGTTTCACTCACAATAAGTGTGCTAAAAATGCATTTGTATTGAGGGTGAGTGATTTTCATTCAATGAGCAGTTGGGTTGAATACAATAACAAAGGGTTTAAAACAATAAAAAATGTAGGGGAATAGCCACAGATGAGTCAGGGGGTTCTTGTAGAATGGCGACCAGCTAAAGGGCTGCACCAGACAAAAAAGGTTGGGAACCACTGCATTAGATAACAAATTAGTGAATGTGGTTATGGTCAGTTGGACCTTTTGTTCACTTTGACACAATAGGAGCTTCTTTCTATCCTCTCTCCTCTCTCCTGCTGTTCTTGTGTCGTGTCTTCGCTCCCTACTGATCTATTGTACTTATCAGATTTTCCTCTGTGAACTCTCTCCGCTCCCTCCTTCTCTTGTCCTCTCTGACTTTCTCTTTCCCTGTCTCTAATTTATGGCTCTCGAAGCCTCTGGGAAATGTTTTATGATGTCTAAGGTTTATTATTAATGTTCTCTCTTGCAGCTATTCCTTGTCCTGTGCGATCGAAGGTCTTGGCGACAGCAGTCCAACTTTGCCCAAACCGAGAAAAAGCATGGTGAAGAGACTCAGCCTGTGAGTACATCAGGAACATTGATTTAAATGAATCTAATGGAGAAATGTCTATTTTTAAACTTTTAAATGTAGTTAAGAAAACATGTCTTTGGCTGAGGTTGTCAGACTGTCCCAATTTATTGACGTTACCTATTTATTTTATTATCTAATTATTGACTCTGCTTGTTTCCAGGCTGTTTCTTGGTACAGACAACAGTTCAGCCAGCTCTCCGGTCAGAGAGACGCCTCGCTCGCCCCCTACTGGCAGCTCAGGGGAGAGCATGGACTCAGTCAGTGTTTCCTCCAGTGACTCCAGCAGCCCCTCAGACAGTGAGGGTCTCACCCCCACACACTCCTCAGACTCCCAGCAAAACAAGGTGGGTTATAATGCCAAAGAAAATGTGTTCATTTAAGTATTTCTTTGGGACTTTGTGAAGATGATTGGTTTGAGGAGATAGTTTGAAATGTATGTTTTTGTAAAAGGAGGGACTGGTCAGGTGTTATTAATATATTATGTTGACCCTGAGAAAAATGGCAACAACTTTCTCTTAACACCTCAGAATGACATATCTCTTTTGAATTGGTACATTTCACTTTTTAGTAACTCAAATTGCATAAAGATGTACACAGCAACACAATCTCATAATACACAAAACTAAATAGCAGCTGTCAAAATTATATAAAAAATACATAGAGAACACTATGTACCTTATGAAAGTTATATTATTCAGCACATTTCTCATTGCTTTAAAAATACAAACAAGCCCTATCATTTGTCCCAAAAGGACAAAACCCACATTTATTTCACATTTAGCACACAAGAGGCATCGATATGGTCGAAATAGTGGATCTTTTAAAAAATGTTTTTCAACATATATTATTAGTGAAGAGTAAAATCTAACTTTGGGAAAAAAGGGAACGCCCTTCACTACTTGACAACCTCAATTCAGCACAAAAAAAGAGGAACATATTGAACACTCCCCACTTCGTCCATCTAATCATTTTCATACATTCCCAAAAGGTTTAGAGGAAGCACACCTCTACTTATCTTGTTTGAGCTTTGCCTTCCTAAATGCTGCAACTTTGTGGAGTAAAATGATCTAATTATTGTTCTACATCTGTGTCTTTATGTTTCCGCAGCTCTCAGAATCCTCCTCCTGTAATTCTCTCCACTCCATGGACACCAGCTCGTCGACAGCCAGCGTCTCCATGACTCCTGCCTCCCCCCCCCTCCCCGGGCCCCCCTGCACCCACAGACGCTCCCTCTCCCTCACCCCCATGTCCCCCAGCTCCCTGATGCACAGCCCAGTCTACAACACCCAGGCCCAGGACGCGTGCATCATCAGAGTCAGCCTGGAGCAGGGCAACGGGAATCTCTACAAGAGCATTCTGGTAAATAGATAGATGGATAGATAGTTAGATGGATAGTTAGATAGATGGATATATAGATGGATAGTTAGATAGATGGATGGATAGTTAGATGGATGGATAGATAGATGGATAGTTAGTTAGATGGATGGATAGATAGATAGATAGATGGATAGATAGATAGATAGATAGATAGATAGATGGATAGATAGATAGATAGATAGATAGATAGATATATACTTACTATTTAAATTTAGATAAGTACTTTATTGATCCCAATTTGGGAAATGTTTGCGTTGCAGCAGCATACAAAACAAGGCAATGTACATAAGAGAAATTAAGACACTAGAAATAAACAATCCAAAAATATTTCTGAAGTAGAAATAAAATAGCATTACAAAGTAAAAAATATATAAACGTGGAAATATCCATGTGGAAATAAAAATGTCCAGTAACAAAATATAATGCAGGATATTATATATACATTAATTGTGATTATTCAATATTAAATCAAATTCAAAATGTACAGTGGGAGTTTATGTACAGTTATCAAGAGAAGCTATGGAGTAGAGGTGATTTGTTGTTATTTATCTAAATAAACATGTGTGATGTGATCCTGTTTTAGTGAGACTGCCTGGGTTTACATCTCTACAAAACATATGTAAAAATTAGTAATTATTTTGTCCATTTCCTCAATAGTTGACCAGTCAAGACAAGACTCCGGCGGTGATTTCTAGAGCCATGGCTAAGCACAACCTGGAGGTGGAGCCAGAGGAGGGATACGAGCTGGTGCAAGTCATCTCTGAGGAGAGAGGTAAAAAACATGGCTCTACTTTGAGCCTCATTCATCCTTTTCATGAAACCTCTTGGGGTTGCTGGGCTAATTGGCAAATGTTTTTGTTATTTGTATTGCAGCAAAGGTCCAACTCAAAGGGCTTTACAAAAACATAAAATGTTTTAAGACACTGTGCAAAAGACACACATTATAAAATAACATGTCAATATCATTTGATTGAATTAAGGCCAACAGCAACCAGAAAAGTCTTTAGCCTTGAGTTTCAGCTTATCTGCATTATGTTGGGAGTTTATGTACAAATATATAGAACATAAAAACTGAACACGGCTTGTTCAGTTTTGACTCTGGGAACTATAAGCAAACCTGAACCAGACAACTTGAGTGATCCAGATGTTTTATATGGCAGAAGATTAGGAATGTATTTTTCTTTCTTAACCACTCAGCACTTTAAAAAACCAAGATGTGCATTTTAAAGTAAAATCTCTGACAGACAGGAAACCAATGTAGTGACCGTAACTTAGAAAATTACCATGAATACAGTCATACGCTTACAGTAAATACAGGAAACAGAAGTTGTGGTATCAGTAACTGTAAAACAACAACGTGGAAATACTCTTTGTCACGCAATTCAGCCATTTTTAATAATTGTGATTTATTTTCCACTGAAGAGCTGTTTTCATAAACCACAATAACCCGTTTTGCGCACCCAAGTATATTTACAGGAAGAACACGAAGAGCTACATTTGACCAATCATTTCTGCTTTTTATCTCCTTTCAGAACTGGTGATCCCAGACAACGCCAACGTCTTTTACGCCATGAACACCTCGGCTAACTTTGACTTCCTGCTGCGGGTGCGAGGCTCTGCGGGGCGGGCGGTCCAGCTGCGGAGCCGCTGCAGCTCCACCCTGCCCCGCGCTCAGCACCGCTCCACCCTCTCACTGAGACTCAGCAAGGTCACACTGTGACCCCTATCAGCAGGGGGGGGTCCGGTGCTTCGCCCTGACACCACTAATCCAGGACATACAGGGCGATGAGGTGAACTGTTTGGGTTTTAGAGGCTGGATGGATGAATGGATGGGCTCTGAAGATGGGTCGCTATGAGTTTTCAGACCCTCAAAGAGCTCCACTTTGACTCTTATCATGAACTGTGCCATCCCTTCTTTTCCCAGCCTTATTACGGAACATGGATCTGTATCGTGACTGCTGTGCCAGTGAGACTTTTTACTAGTCATGTCAGAGTGAAACAGCGACCCCTAGTGGCTTTGGCTCTTTACAACAACAGGTTTTTGCACATGCAATGGGAGCAGCCAAACTCCTGACCTCCAACAGTATTCTGATATTGAATGAACTTCATTTTATCCTGTGTAGCTGAAGATTAACATATAAAAGTGTGATGAATGCAGAAGGAGAAGACAGATGGTGGAATGGACGGAGAAGTGTCCAGTCCTGTTGCCTTAATCGATGAATGAATGGACCTGATAGTATTCTGAATGACATTAATTGATAATTAATTAATTGATTGACAGGACTTGTGATGTCGTTTTCTTACCTAGTCACGCATGTCTGACTTGTGCACAGTGTGCACTGTGTGTGAGTGTTTAGCCCCTCTCATATTGTGAGCTGTGTGACGAATGTTTCCTGCATTCTGATTGGTTCCCTTACTTGGTTTTAACAAGTCTTGTGCAACCATTGAAATGGCCTTACCTGCTCTGTCTTTAGGGTGCAGAGATTAAATGTGTGCTGCTTTCTAATCAGGAAACCTGTTCCTTCATATCCTCACATATCTAGACACGTAAAGATAACAGATGTGTAAGAACGGAGAGGAGGGAACTGACTTCCTGGATTAGAAAACACCATGCAAATGTTCTGAAGCTGATGCATACTTGTACCTCTTTGCCCTTCATTATATGAACTATAGAGATGCACTTGTCAGTTGATAGAAGAAGCCAATGTGATGTGAATACAGAAGAGTGAACAAGCCGCTCCGTACGTGGTTTTCTTCCTCTTCACTAAATGAATTATTGTTTGTAATTTTTGCTTTTTATATGTTTTTATAACAAAATGTAGGCCAGAAATGTATGCCGGATTGGAGAGTGATGAAGTAAATGTTTCATGAATTCAAAAGGGTCTCGTGAAAAAAAAAGCCAGTGCCAGATTTGACTGTGATACATGTGGAAATCTTTCCTGAAGGACACTTCAATTCACCACACAGAGGAATCCTCTTCACACAGTAAACCTCCATCTGTTTCCAACACCATCAAAGTTTCACATCACCAACACCCGTGTCATTACAGCGACCCATTCACAGATTAACTGTTTTATTATGAATCCACCCTTGCATATCTCACAATGTCTTTGTATCGTGCCAATTGGTGCAGCCAGTTTATATTGGGAGGACTGGTTCACTGTTGTGTTAATGGCCCAAATATTTGTCTCCACGCAGCACTTCATTTTAAAATGTCCTCATTAAATCACCCTCAGCCCCTGTGTTCTTCACTGCCAAAGACTCTTTCTCTACCTGAATAAATAAATTATTATCAATATGTTCATGATTGTCGAGTGTGTTTTTGATTCCCTCTTGTATTTGACCGATTGCTCTTAATCAATATAAGTAACATAGTGTATCATTTCTAACACGTCGTAGCAGTCATGCCTCATTATAATACTTGTCATTTTAATTTCCCAATTCATAAAAGCAGCATTTTTCTTTCCCCTGAGTTGATTGGAAGGTTATTCAGATCAGAGTTGTGCACACCCATGCTAGTCTGATGACTTGTTGACATAATGCAAACCTTATTTCTGGACATAATCTGACCCAAAAACTCCAGTCTTTAGTTCCTTTTGAGACATTAGGCTACTCCGTGCTTATTCTGCATCAGGGCAGATTTTAGTACTACTAATGCAAGAGTTTATTCTCGCCTAACAATAACCTAAAGCCGCAGGCCTAATTTAGTTTATTAGTTTATTTTAATCAAAAAACCCTTCATACACATTTCCTTATTGACGAGACATTTAATTTCACTGTAATTAGGAAGCATTTTTAATTGTGACAGACACTTAGGAGATGTATTTATGAGTACACAATTTGTTATGTGTTTGGGAATGTTTCTCAGTCTTTCTCCCAATCAGCTGAAGGAGGGGAATCAGCACTGAGTGTGTAATTATTATAGTTTTAATGACAGTTCAATGACAACTGTTTTGTTATGTTGTTAATTGTGCTCGTTTGAAGCACATCTATCACACATACACAAAAACCTGTGCATTTATTTTTGTCTGTCTGCTTTGGATCTGTCCTTTTGCCTTTGAGCTGAGATTGACAACATGCTGGAGCTGGTTAACTGTGACATTATCAAGAAAAGGACCAGAGGCTGTTCTGGACAAAGTCCAAGTTATTTTGCTGAGTGGAACACATTTCTGCTGAGTTGAATGCAGCAGTGACAACCTTTGTTTCCCGAAGTTAGATTTGCTGTGCTGTTTAAACACTTTTCCAGGAATTCAAAGACAAACAAGGATTTCTGACAATCACAGGAAGTAATATAAAACATGAAAACAGAGCTACCTTTAGGGAATATACATTCACTTTACATTAACTCGAGTTTCTCCTTCATTCAAAACTTGCAAACTTTTTCTTTGTGAAGGGTATGTTGAAATGTAATGCTACAATACCCACAAGTGATCTGAAATGACAACAACAGTGATTTGAGCTTGGTTATGTTGTGTTGAATTATGTGCTTTATTACATATTCGCATACATGTCCCTGCTGACTTTAGTGCTTCGTTGTTTCTCAACTTACAACCTCTACAAATCCTTCAAATCAAACAATTTGAGAAGCAACAATCTTCCCTTTGGTTGTATTCAGGTACATGAAAACCATTATCTGGGAAAGTGGTCTCAAGATGGACATCTATTCCTTACTTGAGACACACTCAACTCAAAGAGGTTTGAAACCACTTTCATAATTGACAAAAACAAGTGTCAAGATATTTGTGTGCCCAAGTACATGTACTTCGGGAAGTCAGTGTAAGTGTGTTCCTCTGTACTTTTTAAAAGTGGAACACAGCAACATTACACTAACGACAATAAAGGCATTTTAGAGCAATTTTGAGTGTTGAGTTGCTGTGATGAATTTTATCTTCTCTGTATCCTGTCAAAGGCTTTGAGTATTTTATAAAACATACTTCCTCTGTAAACCAAGGTGTTCCCATCAGGCTGGATCACAGCTCCTTTATGCCAAAATCCATTAACATTATTATTCCAAAATTCCAAAATTGAAAATGCATATTGTTACACTGAAAGGTGGTGTAGGTAATTTTTGGAGAAACCAGCTCAAGTGCGTTAGAATTTGAAAATACACAGCCGGAAAAAATCTGCCACTTCCTTACAGAGCCCCTCCTCCAACACACACGAACGCGCACATGACCAATGAGGGCAAGAGATACATTTGTGCACAGATGGAAGGCTGACAGGCAGGTAGGCCATCCAGTTATTTTAGCCGGCCGGCTAAAATGATTGGTCGTGCTTTTTACAGTACTACAGCTTCCACAGATGACATTGTTTAATGTATGTATTTATTGTCAAAGCATTTAATATATTCATTGCTATCGGGATGTTAAGAGCATTCCATGGAATATAACAAAAAGTGTTTCTGAAATAAATTACATACCCCACCTTTAAACAAATAATAAAACACTAAGGAGGGGAGCTCATTAAAACCCCTCCATAAATTGAACTACAAAGAGGACAGCAGATAAACATCAATGAGTGACACATATTGAGCGGAGCCAAAGATTATCTGCAGGAATTGTAATGAAAAACAAAAGCAAGACATAAACTCAGCGGGCATGCTGGCTGCCTTTAAATAATTAGACTGCATAATATGCTACTTAAGAAGTCTCTCCCACCAAATGTTCCAAACATATGCTGGCATGTTTTTCAATGCTGGAGAAATCATCCTACATGCTGGCAACTTTGTGAATATTTATAAAGCTAGATATTTAAGTAGGATGCAACAAGTCTCTTTTATGTTTCCCCTCCAGCTGTGTTGTTTCCCCACTTCCTGCTCTGTGCTTTCAGCCTGATATCCTCTCTGACTCTGAGCTCTCTGGGCTGCAGGTAGATGTACGCTCTGCATAAACACGTCTTTGCTATTGATGAAGGTCTCGGTCTGATGCGCTGTAGTGCAGTTTAACAGCTAATTTTTGGGTACAAATATTTCAGATATATTGAGAGGATTGCCAGGCTAGAGTCATTATGGACCTGCAATGCAGACCTAATGGTTTATATTCCATATGGATGCAATTGTGGATAATTTCCACATTGTTTTAATCTATAAATCGATGCTAGAAAGTCAGATAAGAAAGGGGCATATTAGCAACATATACCATGTTTTGGAAATAATGCATTTCACTGTGTTGTTAAAGTAAAGGCTGAGGTAGTTGACTTGCTATAATAGCTTGTACAAGGCTTTCAAACTATTATGTTGTTAAATATTTAAACAGTAATGCAGAACTCACCTAACGTTTTCATCAACTCGATGCATGGAGGAAACTAAATGAAATTATTAAAAAGGTGTTCAATTTGGATTACAATTAAAGAAAATGGCTATTAGATAAGTACGCAGTTAAGGGAAAAGGTTGCGAGATCTGTTTTAGACTATATAATATCAGTTAGTGACAGAGACCAAATAATAAGGTAGTTGGGGAGGCAAAGAAAAACAGTCCTGCTGGTTAGCATTATCTCTGGGTAGTGACAAAACTCAGTTCAACAACTTTCACTATTACATTTAGTTTTCTTAAAGAATATAATGAAATCCTGAGATTAAGCCAACTTTGTTTTGCCTTTGCGACCCCTTGTGAGGCAGTGGCGACCCCTAGTGGGGGTTGCATAACCCCCATGTAATCTTCAAGTGGAGAACATTGAAAGGCTTCAGAGCTACCTGATTCACAATTCATCTTTTAGGAGTACTGCCCCGCACATCTACAATCCTTTGATACATGTGAACATGAAAGGGTGTCTGTGTGAGAGACAGTGAAAGTGCATCTGAGTGGTGGTGGTGTTTGATGCGGCAGGTCAGGTTGCACTAATGTTGCCTTACGCAGAGGGATGAGAGCTGCAGCTGCTTTTAATCCGTAAGAGCATGTGAGTGGGACACCAGATTGTTTATGCGGTCCATTGAAAAAGATCTGGCAGCGATCAGAGAGAGGAGGGAGAGCGCAGCTTATCGTCCATCTGTCCTCTTCCCCCACCACTCATCATGGTGGCAGGCAGGGACAGACCTGAGTCCTCTGGTATCCGTTTAATTAAAACATTTGAACCTTCTTTGGCACCGATGATAACAAGCCCATCCCAAAATACAAAAACTCAGAAAAGGGAAAAAAGCCACACGCCAGGTAATTAAAGACTTATTTGCTCATCAGCCAATTATTCACCCGAGCCTTCTTGGATGGGTTTCATGCAGCGCTGTGAGGCCTCTCACTACACGCAGGTCATTATTCATCCAGTGCCAGGACTGCCGTGAGTGGGAAATCAGGGACTGAATAAGACAGATTCAACCTTCACATCAGGATAAAAGGCTGTATTCTAACAGTTTAGAGCACATCATTATTGTAAAATGAAACCTAGATGTGATATGCTGATTTTTCAGGTTCATATATTTGTATGTTGTGTCTCTAATGTGACATGTTTAAATGCTTTAATGTTCAAAAAGCTCTTTATTTTTTTCATACTGCCTGTGCTGCAGCACCTCTTTTCACCCTCTGTCTGAAACCAGAGCCCAGTCTGCTCTGATTGGTTAGCTGGCTGGCTCTGTTGTGATTGGTCAACTGCTTAGAGATATCCCGCCCCTTAGCCAATCACAAGCAATAAGCTGGACACGCTAGCAATATAAGCATGAGTGTGATACAGTGATGTCACTATATCGCGGGAGTAAACAAAGGAGTCCATTGGAGGCATTTCAAGCAGGGGGGAGTGTGTGGGAGAGAACGTTGGGATTTTAACCTTTGCAGACCATTTACATGCACACAAACCTATAACACATGCACTACAGGAAAGGGAACCCCCCCCAAAAAAGCATTATAGGGCCCATTTAAAAAGAAAGAGTCATGCTCGTCATCACTTTCTTGTTAAAGGTCAAATGCAAAGCTTCCAAATATGCTACATTTTCATAGAAATGTTGTTTTTAAGACTGCCTGTATTTTTTATTTAATTTAAATCGAGATAATACACCCGAAAAAAAGCTTTTTATTGATACAAAACTCGACCCAAAGCCGTCTGAATTTATGACATGTCATTCTCAGCAGCTGTTCCCAGCGTGACGTCATTGTGGCCAAACAGTCTCTGGGCCAAATATCCCGACTCGGCAGTCTCGTGCGCTGTTCACATGTCAGCTGTGTTTTTCGCTCATGACTGGTGCAGAAAACTCTGAATTATATCCGCGAAATCACGCAAAACATGGGTTATTGTTGTGCTTTCGGATGTACAAACGGTGCGGGATCTGGGAGAATTTTTCATTCATTTCCCCAAGACAAAATCATCCGCAGAAACTGGATTATTTTAGTCTGTTGGTGGAGAAGCATTTAAAGTAGCCTACATCGGAGGCTGAAATCCGGAGCCGTCCCCATATTTGAGCACAAAAAACAACCGAAAGAACGAAAGAGCCGGGCAATGCAGAAACGCCAAAGAATTGAGGTAAACAAATTTTGATTTGATTTCAAAGCGCACGGAGCACAGAGCGGACAGCAGATAACGGAATTGCAGTTTTATTGCTTATAGATTATCAGAACATTTCAAAGGGGACACAGCCCCATTGGATATTAACCTATGGATTAACTACATCATCGTTTTTATCGTTTTAATGCCATTTTAGACCAGACAAAGAGGAAGGTAAGCCTAGCTCATGTTAGTACCTAGCGCCACTTGTTTTGATGTACGTTTTTGTTGATAACCTCACGAGTTTGTATCTTTCAGTGTTGAGGTGGGCACCGTTAGATTCTGTGTCTTTACGATCATAAACAATGTGTTGGATGTGGAGCTAGGATAAGTAATAAGGGAGCTAGGAGTGATTTTCGGTGCAGTAATAGGTTAGCATTTTTCGCTCGGGGCTAATTCAGAGGCTCACTGTTAGCATTGTGTTTTTCTTTTTTAAATAAATGAAAAAGATCAGTTAAATGAGTTTTTTCCCATTATATGGATATAAAATATTCATAGTTTATTAAATATTAAGGTTCCTTAGACATCGTTTCCTGCAAATGACGCGATTTCGGGTCCGTGGGCCTAAGAGGATAACAGAGTATGTTTTATTTTTTTTTCACAACAGTTGTATTTGGATGGAATGAATATCTATAGTGATAATTTAAAGTAATACAATGATTTTTTACAGTGAAAAAGTTCAAATGGAACTGATGGTTCCCAAATTACCCAGAGGTTGCCTGGACTATATTTTTCTAAACCTCTCTAAAAAGGTCAGATTTAACTTGTTTTGCATCAATCTTGATACAGGGTACTTATATGTTATAGTTTGGATTCCTAAAGCTTTTAGTCTATAGTCTACTCAGAATCAGACATGATAACGAAACTAAGTTGTACTATCGGCGTAAGCAGCTGTGAGCGATAAGCCAGGTGGAAATATGTTTGGCCACTCTGACGTCACGCGACGCCATCTTGCGGAGACGAGCGGCTGAGAAATAAATCGTCGGACTTGGTGTTGGGGGTTGAACAAAATAAATATTGCGCATTGCCAGACGCATATTATCTCCGATTTTAATACTGCAATATCTTAGATAGTGTTGTAGCTATATGATTTCGATTTTACTGGCAATTGTAAAAAAATCTTTGCATTTGATCTTTAAGTTTTATTATCTTCTTACTCTTTTCAATTCTTGGGAAAATATTTCAAGAGCTTCAAAAACTAAAAACTCATGAATAATAAAAATGATACCAAGGTTTGATAAAAGACAGTTTTCATTTCAAACAAAAGCTTATAATTGGTCTGCTTGAAGCTCCCGATCATTGTTCTCCATCTCAAATGTTTTAAACCTAAAAATACCCAAACTCACATCTTCGCTGTATTGTTTATTTGTACTCTTTCACAAATGATCAATTATAAACAGCTTGGAAAAAAACACAACACCCACAACATGGTAACTTATGTTTTCAACCTTGTTGCTGAATATTTCAAACTAGTATGATATGAGACATTTTTCTTTTATTTATCAATATAACAAATGGTGGCATTAAATTGTACCCAAATGCAACGTGTAGTGGAAAGAAAATCAGCCCAAGCACAAAGATAAATACAAGTTAATAGAAGAAATAAGTGTTGAACATATTTGCCTTTGGTTACGAAGATATTAACATAAACAGCCGGTACATCGGGTAAAGCTCGAAACAAAGATACACTTTGGTTTATACATACACAAAAAAACGAAATCCTGACTTAAACATAGAAAAATAGTCGTAATCTTGACTTTCAGCTAAGAGGTGCAACACTCCTGTCCAAGGTTCGATTAGAAAAAAACCATTTACCCTTTTACATGTGTAACCATTCATTTTATTTGTAATATATTCAAATGTTACCTTAACGGTCTGTTGCTTGCTGAGTGTTGCACCTGTAATACAGATGAATGCTTTATGCCTGCTTGTAAAACAGAACATTATAATGGAGAGCAAAGACATTACAATGAAGTGCAGTGAATATGAACAAGCAGCAAAAAAGAAGGGGATTATCTTATCATGTTGGACAGTAAATGTGCCAAAACGTTGACGACCTGTGTTAGTTTCTCTGAAGATCTGCTTACGCTCTTTGTCAATTCTGTTCAAGCTGTACGCCAAATTAAAGAATCATAGTGCTGCATTTCATTGTGAAATAAAACATCTGTTCGTGCGCTTATCTGTATACGAGTGGTCATTTATTTCTTTTGCATCAGAATGTGGAGCTCATAAGTAATTAAAATGAGAATATCATCAAACTAAATTCATAAAAAGGGAGTTTTTTCACTTTTTAATTGTCCCTGGAAAGGAAAAGATGGCGTTCAGATGCTTTAATACGCTCCTGTAACACTCGGATACTGGGATAACGATGGGATGCAGAGAAGAAATGATTGAACATTTGACATCTCACCAAACTCACAGCTTAGTCTTTTAGAAACCTCTGTGTTGGATCTTAGTTTGCTTCATTACTTAGTTAAAATAAAGGATATTTTCTTTGCTTTAAAGATCTAAGGAGATTCAGACGGCTGCGTAATAAACACAAATAAAAGTAGAACACACACTGACCCTAATGTCTCAAAGGAGGTTTACCTGAGCAAAAAAAAAATGCAGAAAATGTTCTATACAGTGAAAAACAAAATGAAAGTCAAATCTCTACACATGTATCAAGAACATACATGAGGCGGTGGGATATTAGAAACACCGCTTAATATAATGCATTCCAACGCAACGCAACCCATAACCAAAAAATGACACTATAGTTAAACCCTTTTAAACAGGATCTATAGGGCTCTATATTGGATTGCATTAGATTGAACAGGGTTACTAATACAAACTGTGGAGAGCTTAGTTACAAACGTGTTAGCTAATCATATAGGTGATTAGAAAACAGAAAAGATAGTCCCAACAACTTTCAAAAGTGTTCTTTAGTGTTTCCCGTCATTCACCATAACCTATTCAACTTATCAGCAAAAAATAAAACTACACCCAAACTCTTTGAGTGGTCTGGAAAAATGATGAACATTTCCCACGTGGACCACCACGTCATTGTTCTACTCATCACTTTGTTGTTCTGTTAAATCATCTTCCTGTAGACACTGTCCCTTTTATTGCACAGTATAGGAATATATTGTCTGCCTGCTAACACACGGCAGCTGTAAAAACCGACGAAATGCGCTTTGTGACAAAGTCTTTCACACTCACACACTTCTGATGTTGATGATCTCACGTCTTATCTCCATGTCGCATCAAACCGTGCTCCATGACAGGCGAACTGTGCCCTAGACAAATTAAGTTTGTGAAGCACGGCCCCCCTGGAAGCCGTGCTAAACTGAGGGTCGGTTTGATGACTGCTGGACACGCCTCCATCTTGGACACAGTGAAATGGTAAAGATGACGTTGATGATGGTGGTGTTGGGGGGGGGGGGGGGGGGGGGGTTCAGGGGTGCTGTGCTGCCAGCTCCTGTCCGATGAAGCGGCGCAGGCGCTCCAGATACTGGCTGTACAGCTCGATGTCGTTGTGTCCTGCCCCCTCCACCCACAGAGGCTCCACCGCTTTGGGGCAGCGCTCGAACAGAGCCAGGCCGTGCGAGAAATCGATGACCTCGTCCTCCGTCCCGTGGATGATGAGCACCGGGGACGTGATTTTGGACACTTTTTCAATGCTAAAAAAGATGGAGAATAAGATAATAAGAACAATTTTAAAGAAAGTAGTTACCATATTCGTTCGCCACCCCATAAATAAATAATAAACCTGCCCGTCTATTAAACACAGTTTTTACCCATGTGTCTAATGAAGCTCAGCCTAAGTTCAACCAGGAAGACCGTCTTTACTCTTCATTTACTATTCCCATGTAACTACTCTCTCTCAATAGGTGATCGGGGGTGTCACTCTCCAGCTTAACCAATCACTTCGATATTCCCAAGAGCCTATCATAGCTCTCTGCCAAACCTATTAAGTCTGCTCTCCCCCCTCTGACAGCTGTCATTTCAGGTGACTCTACGCAACCCTCCTCCGACTCTTTTCACCTCCCGTCCCTCTGAATCCAGGGTCAAACTAAGCCCCTCCCCTTAAGACCGACCCAACTATCCATTCACCACCACCACTGTCTAGACCCCGGGGGATTTCATCGGATCGGTTCTCCCCTCCCGAATGACACACACACACACACACACACACACACACACACACACACACACACACACACACACACACACACACACACACACACACACACACCACACACACACACACACACCACACACACACACACACACACACACACACACACACACACACACACACACACACACACACACACACACACACACACACACACACACACACACACACACACACACACACACACACACACACACACACACACACACACACACACACACACACACACACACACACACACACACACACACACACACACACACACACACACTTGAATACTTTATTTGGTTCCACAAATTATATTACATAAGACAGGGAATCAAATATATCGGGGCCAAGCAGCACAGAACACTTAGGGGAACACATAGCATCTCCTTCTCCACACGGCTAAGCTGCCAATAATAGCTGAAACAGAGCAATATTTGGCAATTTGTTTGGCTTTTCTCTTTGACATTCCAGCAATTCTCAGACCAATCATGGTGCATTTATATACATGGCCAAGACTTCCGAATATAAGTATGCTGTATCTACACTTGTACCCAAAGCTGGTTATCACATCGAGCAGTGGTTGGTATTTGATATACTTGTCCTGGAAAGCCTGGTCCATGTACAGGTCAAAGGCACAGCCTACTTCTAATATTAGCACCTCCCTGTGGTTGGTGTCAACAAAAACAACATCAGGTGTATTTGGGATGTTAGCAAAGACATCATTGGTAAAACCAAACCATTCTGGTAGCACTCTAGCGTGCTTGTACATTGCTGCGCTAGATGGTAAGATGTTTCGTACCGCATCAGACACAATGTCCACAATACGGTCATGACGGGCTATGTACAGGCGTTTGTATGCATTACATCCATTTGTTATGTGTGCAATGGATTCTAGGTGTTGTTGTGAATCCTGATGGTTTAAACAGAATGGAGTGTGAATGCGAGGGTACCAGGTGGACAGATTGTACTTAGTGGGTAATACCTGCAGTCTTGCTTTGATGGTAAATGTCAGAACATCCACACACACACACACACACACACACACACACACACACACACACACACACACACACACACACACACACACACACACACACACACACACACACACACACACACACACACACACACACACACACACACACACACACACACACACACACACACACACACACACACACACACACACACACACACACACACACACACACACACACACACACACACACACACACACACACACACACACACACACACACACACACACACACACACACACACACACACACACACACACACACACACAAATCTCTTCAGATTTCAGAACCAGGGTTCTAAATCTTAAATTATAGTTTCACATTAACTCCTTATAATTATCAAAATGTTCCTTTTTTAATAAAGCACTGCACGGATAAGCACTCAGTCAAAACCCAACATCTGTCAATTATGCACTCTATGGACAATCTTGCACTAATATTTTGCACATTCTATGTAAAATGTTGCACTAATGTACATTCTTAAATATTGAAGTTATTTTGTATATATATTGATTGTTGTGTTTTTATTTAGGTCTTAATGTGTGCACATGTGGGGAACGGTATTTTGATCTCTCTCTGTCTGTACACACAAACTGACAGATTGACAATAAAGTTGACTTTGATATCTAAGTTAAAACTGTAAACTGCCATTCACTCTCAAGTAGGTTGATGTGTGAAAGGACTTTATTGCTGAAGTAAAAGCTTCCAAGTCCTACACTGTTGTTAAAAGTTAAAGATAAACTAAGCCTGTACTGATGCAAGGTCACTTTTAGACCAAGGTGAAAGAAATCAGTGAGACCAACACTGCCAGATTTCACAGTTCTCTGAAATAATACAGAGTCTGGATGGCATACTCACAACTATGAAAATAAAATATATATAAAGTCCACCGCCTTACTAAAGTGTGAGACTTTACAATGCAGTCCCAAAGCACAGGAGGTGTTCTCTCAGCGCAGATGTTTGTTTTGGAAGAGAAACACTACAAGTGCAAGTAACAATTACACGTTCCTATTGGAGGACCTGTAATTATGTGGAAATGCCAACTGGCAGCAAAATAGTCTGCGTAATCTATATGTGTGTATCATATAACATGAACACCTTATTTAAGGATTTATGAGACAGCAAAAGAGAAGGAGGAGAACATAAAGAGATTTTCTAGGAAAAATGTCAGTATGATTGAGTTAATTTAAGGCCATATATCAAATGTGTCAACTTATTTATAACATGCAGTTAGATTTGGGCCCGATCTAGAGATTGGTTTAAAAAGTGACACGCAGCAGAGACTCACTTGGGGAACGCGTCGAAGCAGTACGTTTTCTTCGTGTCGGGGAAGGCCACTCTCATGCCAGATGTGAGAGGGGAGTGCAGAACCACGGCAGCACACTCATACCGGGACGCCAGGTCCACAGTGGGGACTGTTCCAATGCTCTGTCCGTACAGGATGATGTTCTCTGGGCAGATGCCAAACCTGGTGAAGAGCAAAGATACACAGAACACATTATAGTGCAGGCTAGGGCTGCTCGATTATGGCAAATCATAATCTCGATTATTTGGGTCAATAATTGATATCACGATTATTAAAAACGATTATCCATTTACTTTGAAAACATCAATTTATTGAAAAAAAAAATGTGAACAGTAAGTTTTTAACAGTTGATTACTCTGAACTTTAATTCAACTGAAAAACCAATACAAAAATAAAATAATCGTTTTATTTCGATTATGTTGTTTTCATAATCGTTGCAAGCCAAAATCGTAATTGCGATTAAAATATGATTAATTGAGCAGCCCTAGTGCAGGCTAATGGAAGTCATGCAATGAACCCACGTGCATACAGTAAGTACAGCAGTGAGAGATACTATATACAGTAATTAGATGGAGGAGCAGGTGAAGTTACATTCGGATTTGTATTTTATTTCTTGGAACGTCCACCAGAGTTTATTGTTTATTTAAATATTCTTTGGCTTTACATAACAACATCTCTTTGCGTGCTTTTTGGGAAATATCTGTCGGACACCCTCACCTCATCTCAGGTAGCTTCAGAGCAGTTCATGTCTAGTATTAGCCACTTCACAGTTGGATGAACCTTTTTAGTAAGGTAATTAAATCACCTTTACATACGTTAACATTTGTTTTTATGTTACATGTGTAACTAATGTCCTGCAGGTCACCCTTGAAAAAGAGATCTTTTGATCTCAAGGGGCTTTCACCTGGTTAAATAAAGGCTACAAACAAACAAACAACAACATATTTTTACATTTGCCCGCAAAGTCCTGTGGCAACCGCCCATACCACTGACACCAACCTAAACTCACGATTAGGGCTGCAACAAACCACTAATTTGATAATCGATTCATCTATCGATTAATTAAACGACTAATCGACTATTCGGACTATTATGCCTTGCACAATTTCTCAAACGCTCTTATTTAGCCATCAACTTTTAGATTTAGCTTGAGGTTGTTTTAGGCATGTGGAAACTAACAATGAAGACAATAAAGATCAATACTTGATTAAAAAATGCATATATTATTAAATTAACTTAACACATTTTGAACAAAATTAACATTGCTTTTTATTTAAAGTAAATAAATAATATTTCACATCAAAAGAAACAACAATGTTTTAACAAATCATATTAAATAATCTGATGACAGAACTGTAAACAGAATAGCTGAAACTTTAACAAAATAAATAACTCAGTTTCCTCTAATCATAAACCCATGTTTGTATCATTGAGTTAACTCCGTGTGTTGCTGCTAGCATACATAACACCTGACGTGGAAACGTTACTCGTGGATGGGGCTGCAGAGCTGCTAGAAAGACAGTCGAACCCGGTGCATTCCTCCGTCTGAATGTGGAGCACTTTCGCTAAATGTTTAGACACATTGCTCGTGTTACCGCCCTTACATGCTGAACTCTTATTGCACTTTTGGCAACGAGCATTCTCCACATCGAGACGGCTATAGTTTAACCACACCTCGGAGCGCGTTCTCTCCGCCATCTCCGCAGTGTGTTGCTGCATGTAGCAGCCGCGTGTGTGTAAACTGCCCCGCCCCCTCGCACACAGACGGGAGAGAGAGATCTCTCTTCTGGATTGGAAAGATCGAAAATATATCATAGACGCATTTGTTTGTCTTTTTGCATATTAGAAACGAGTTGGCGACACTAAGACTGCGATATAATGCTTATGTAGCAATAATACATGACATATATTTTTGAAATGTCTCCAGTACCGATAAAAAGACCAATAACGTTGGAGCTTAACGGCGCGTAATACACACGTGATGACGTCACCAACGAATCGACGACTGAATTAGATTTACTAATTTGGTAATCGATTTTAATCGATTAAGTCGATTAGTTGTTGCACCCCTACTCACGATGCCATAAGATGACGAAAAAAATACAAGGGAAATCAAAAAATATGTTCCAACAATACAGAAAATGACTTAGTAAAGAGTGACAGCTACACCTCAATGTAAACTCACCTTACTCCAGCCCTTACTCAACGCTCCGTGGTGTCGCTTCCTCCTCGGGCTAGAGCCGCATTAAAGCAGCTCTGCTTTCACTAATGAGACACTTTATCACATCGTCCTTGAGAGACATCTCTGCCGCCAGCCTCCCCTCCCTTCATCCATCCGTCTCACTCTTTTATTCCCACGGCATATGTCCACACTGTGCTCCACTCTCTTCATCACAGCTTTGCCTGATCACAACCTCTGTCACCTTGACTCAGCCCTTATTCACATCTTAATCTGTTAGTTCCCGTCTTCATTTTATGACCCCTTCTTGCTTTTTTTTAGGGCGTACAACAGGAGTATCCCTATGAAAATCTAAACGTATGCAACATGGTTTGTTTTGCTCCACATTTAATTTATGCGCCATGTCTGCGCCCCTAAACAAGACACTGTATAATAAATCATAATTTGAAGGACACATATGGGCCAATTCTAACATACCGTGTGCGCAGGGCGTGCCAGGCAGCGTCGATGTCTGCGTAGAGGTTCTTCTCAGAGGGCTTCCCAGTGCTCACACCGTAGCCTGAGTAGTCGTAGGAAAAGATGTTGCAGTTGATGCGAGTGCCGAGGCCGATGTAGAAGCTGCTCATCTGGCCCAGGTCCACCGCGTTACCGTGGGAGAAGAGCACTGTAAATCTGGAAGATACACATGAAGGACAGGTTAGTAGATGGGCCCACAATACCTGACAATAACTTTATTTGAAGTTAGAAATATAGTAGCCTTATAGTGGCAAATGTTGTGGTCCTTACCTCCCTATACTTTTTCAAATTGGTATTTTGTGCCTCTACTGTGACATGTTTACATGCTTCAAAAAGCTCTTTATTCTTCTCATTCTGCCTGTGCTGCAGCCCCCCTTTTCCCCCTCTGTCTGAAACCAGAGCAGTGTGTTCCCAGACATAGATTTGACATGGTACATTAGATTGCCCAAAAGGTTTATTTTCAGCCTGATTTAGCTTCTTTTTTTGTTTATCTGTTCCAACAAAACTGACACAAACAAACTGTCAATCAAAACAAACCAGTTTCTCCATCACAACTCCAGCCTGGTAACTCTACACTGAATCAAACCATAGGCAACCTGTTGCTAGGATAAACACAGCAGCGTTACTAGGACTCCGTGCCAACACGACATTGTCTAAAAAGGGATACATGTCTCTGACTACTTTTAAATCCAGGCTGAAGACTTTTCTTTTTGTCGCTGCTTTTAATTGAACTATTCATATCTTAGACTGCACTGAAACTTTTATCCATGTACTTTTTTCTTTTAATGTTTATTTTATTAGCTTTTCTTTTTAATGACTGATTTTAAATGCCATTTTCTTAATCTCTTTCATTTTTTGTAAAGCACTTTGAATTGCCTTGTGTTGAAAAGTGCTATATAAATAAACTTGCCTTGTTTAAGGATTGGTTCTCTGCTCTTGTCAAATGACTCTTACTTCTAGACATTGTACAACCTGAGAAGCTGGGCATCTGCTATAAAAGCTGGGTATTCCAGCCTTCGCCTTTTCTTCAGGGTGCATGTTGTGTTCTCTTGAGAAATCTGATCCTTTTCTACACGCTGAATCCCTCAGTGGTTTTGTTTATGAACCCATACGGCCTGTGGCTTTGCTCGTGGCCTTTCCACTCAGAATGTGGCAGAACAATGACGCTGCCATATGAGGTCTGGTTTGGATTCTTTGTGTAATACTAGATAGACATTAATACAAGAGACTGTAACACAAGCCTGTCCATGTCTTTTTAATTGATTTAGTAAATTAATCAGCAGCAAACTGCAGCAGGCTGGGCTAAATACCTTTACAAATAACTTTGAACACAAAATAAAACTTGTTCTGCTAAAGGATTTAATCGCTCATAACTATGTACCCAGGGTTGGGTTGTAACGGAATACATGTAACGGCGTTACGTAATCAGAATACAAAAATCAAGTAACTGTATTCAGCTCGCGTTACATTTGAAAAACGAGTAATCTGATTACAGTTACTTTGGTAAACCTGAAGTGAATACATTTTGGATTACTTATTGGAATTATTGGTGGAAAGATTTCCTCACAACATTTAATATGCATTACTAAAGGTACAGCCGAATCATCACAGCGCACAAAACCTATTACCGCCGCAGATGGACCAAAAAAGGGAGCGTTTGAAAAAAAAGGGGCGGGTCCGCTCAGTGAACGATAACAACGAAACATGGAGGAACAAAAGTCTGCGTTTAAGTCGTGTGTGTGTAGAGGTGTGTGTGGTTAAAACACATCAGCCTGCGGTCGCTCTTTAGCCTTATGATTCTGAAGGTAAACACAGTGAAGGCGGTGCGTTAAAGGCACTGCACGCTCCTCTTCTCAGAGGCTGAGTTAACCCTCCCGCTGCCTCCTGGTGCTGCAGAGATTTCATGAAGTGAAGGAGGTGTTCCTTCTATAAAACAGCTGAGGGCAGCAGATACTGTGAGTGTCACGGACATGAATTCATAGATCAAGGCAGACTGGTGCACACACTCTCCTGTTTTGCCAATCCGGTGCTTAAACAAATATAGCTCTACACCCCTGGCCGAAATGTCCTTAAAATGAAGTCTGAGTTCGACATTTTAATTCATGTCCTGCCAACACTGCAGGACAGAAGGCGACACGCCCGTTCTAAGCCGTGTCCCTCACTCCTCACATCTTAAGCTGCATCCCCAAAAAGTGTATTATGTTTTTACATCGTTTCAGATGCTATGTTTCAGTTGTGCTCTTGATAAGCCATTAAAACAGTAAAAACACGTTCAGTTTCCTTTTGCTTTTTGTGTCTCCTGTTCACCAAAACATACCCATCTGTGATGGAAAAAGAAAGTAATCTAAAAGTAATCTGATTACTTTTTTAAGACACGTAACTGTAACTGTATTCGGATTACTTTCAGAGCCATGTATTCAGTAATCAGGAGCTGATTACATTTACAAAGTAACCCTCCCAACCCTGTATGTACCTATGTGCCAATAAATGCAGTGACACAAGCCTGCAGTCAGTCAGATAGCAGGAAATATGTATTCTCTGACTCACTGAAACATCATGTCACTGAGAGGAACTCTTTATAAAATGAGGATCATTGTAATAAACTGTGGGTCACCTCAACATTCACATTTCTAGATATTTACAGCCCATAAAATATGAAAATAGCATGGCTTCTCAGGAAAAAAAGAACTTTAAAATGCCGGCAATGGCCTATGGAAAAGCAGGATGAGACAACTGTTGAGTCAGCTGAGTCAACAGAGAGGGACAAGTAGAAAGGAAGTAGATATGGAGATGAGGGGAAACACTGACAAGGAAGTATTGTATGGAAACAATATGTAAGGAAGTGTGTCACATAGTGCTGTAGCGACGCGTCGACTTCAAAATATCGTCGACGACATATTTCCGCGTCGACGCGTCGCTACACACACGTGGGTCACCCAAAGCAACAAGCAGTTCGCAATCACACTTCAAACACAATGGAGACTGAAACGGCTACCACCTCCTCCTCACAGGATTGCGCACGAAGCCCCCAAACGAAAACATCTCGCCCTAGGTCTTCAAAAGCATGGGAATATTTTAAAGTTAGTCCAAAACGCAAAGATATTTATATATTTATATCTCACTGAGACTGCTGCATAGCCTAGCAGAAGCAGCAGCTAGCTGTGGTGGCTACCATTAGCAGCTAGCATTTGCTCTCCGATTTTTACATAAAATGGAATTATGGATTATAAATTCAATCATTTTTTTATAAATAGATGTTAAAAACCTATGGATTAACCGATTCAGCCGCGTTTTTTCTCATTTTAATGCCATTGAACACGTCTTTTGATCAGATTGACAGCTACGGCGGTGAGACGATCTCCCGAGAAGCTCTGTGAAGGTACGTGTTGTGATGACTGTATTTGCTTCCCCTGTCGCGAGTCCGGATCACTCAGTGATGATACTATATACCTACATAATCTGTGGAGTCTCAGCTTTAATCGGATATCTTGTATGTGCAGCTACGATAAGTAAAAAGGGTACTTTTATCTTGAGTTCTGTGCCAATGTCCGTTAGCATTTTTCGCTCAGGGGTCATTTAGATGCTTCTTATGAGACTTGTGTTTTGTTTTGGTAAACATGGTTTGTATCGTCAATTAGCTGAGATTATTTCCGTTAATCTGGTATAACACATTAATAGGTTCTTAAATATTAAGATCCCCTGAGACGCAGTGTCGTGAAAAAATTTTTTTACATTACGTTTTTTTTACATTACGTTTTTTATGAATTGAACAACAGAAAAATAATCGTTAGATTAGTCGACTAATCGATCAAATAATCGCCCGATTAATCGTTTTCAAAATAATCGTTTCCCCCCAGCACTAGTGTCACACTGTCATAGAATGAAAAAGTAAGGTCACACAAGCCATCACCTAAATGCTACCATGACTAAAAAGGTAGGTGAACCTTGGAAGTCTCACCTGGCATTAGGAGCACAGCGGATGTACATGCAGCCGACTTTGTTCCCCCTGCTGGAGTGAGTGAGGAACACCTCCGTCATGTCCATCTCTCTCTGCGAGTACTGGAACTCTGCTCGCTCAGTCAGGTGGAGCTTCCATTTCCCCTCTACAGCCCCTCCGCCTCCAGCCACTGTCGCCCCGCTCCTCGCCCGCAGGCTGGGGGTACCTGCGACCCCCGGTGCTGCTGGACCTGCCTCGGGGTCCGGCAGGAAGGCGTAGGTGGCCTCAGGGGGCAGGAAGGCCAGCTTGGCTGCGATGCGGCCAGGGCAGGGCGGGCAGCAGAACAGGCAGCAGAGCTCGCTGAGAGACAGGCCGTTCATCCTTCACTGTGCCGGAGGAAGACAAGAGGATTACTGTGCTAATGAAAACACATCCTTCTAGTGTAAACACAATGAGATACTCATTACTATTCAAGCATTCAGTACAAGTGTGGTAAGAACATGATCGGTCAATGTAATGATTACAAGTGCTGGAAAATAGAGCACGTTATGACCATGGGCTATATATTGACAATCTATTAATCACTTAAATGATAGTAAGGTAATCATATTTAACATTTGCTGTTTATAGCTTCATTGACGTCAGGGGTTTTTATATTTATAAATAAAAAAAGACCTCTACCATTACTTCATTTTTGATAAATCTGCAGATTAGCGCCTGATTATTTGAGTAAAGTCAGAAAATAGTAAAATAAAATATATAAGAGTTTCAGAAGTGACTATTTTGTATTGCTTTGTTGTTTGACAAAGACTATAATACTTAGAAACATTAAGTCTTCCATCACATCAGACAAAGGAACGCAGCAAACCATCACAATAAAAAGGCTGAAACCAATTAAGTTTGAGCCTTTTTGCTTGAAAATATACATAAACGTATCAAAGTATCAAAAAGAGGTTTGTTTTTATTATTTTTTTGTCAATCAACTTAACGGTTTAGGTTTCTTAGCTCTTAAACTAAATACTTTTTGCATCTTGTGTACGTAAATAAGCAAAGTGTGAGTCCTCTGATAAACAATAATAATTATAACAAATCATTTACACATATTTTGAGCGAATAGTTTAAAGATAAGCCAAGATAATTATTAGATCCAGCCCTACAGGCCACCCCCCCAAACAGACATGTAATATGACAACAACCGTACACCTACCTGTTGATCTGAAGATCTTAGTGTGCGTTAAAGTCAAAAATAAAAGGAAGGTGTCCTCCACTTCAGAGAAACTCAAACACAGGAGGATACTGGAAAGTGCTCTGTCAGCAGAAGGAACAATACAGTAGCCTGCCACCTGACAGGGAAGTGTTATTTACAAAGTATCTGCTGGGTTGGGTTTACTGGTGACTGAAGTCCAGATCGCACCCATTGTGTCCACTTGTTGAGATGTTAACGAGTGAATCCAAATACAGTGTTTCCCAAGCGTGCCGTGGATATATTAGTTTTAAAAATATAACTTTTCTACTTGTTTTTGCCAGTAAGGACGAGCGACAGTTTCCAATACGCCTTTCAGAGTGACTAAAACTAATCCTGGAAGCTTTTCAAGGACTAAAAACACACACAGCTCGACTTTTCCCTGCACAAAAGAGAAATATAACTCAAGAATAACAGCAAGTGTTCTTTTACAGGACAGATAAGCTGCTTGTCTTCGCCTAACAGCTAACGCTACGGCGGTTTAAGCTAGCAACAAGACACAAACACGGCTACCGAGTAAAAAAAAACACCGCTTATTCGAGGACATTTAGACATGAACACATCGTTAAAACACCGTTTCCGACGAGAGTTTCGGTCTGTAAGAATCCATTCTGGCCGGTGCTTGTGTCTCCTCTGAATTTATGGATGGCGTCTTGTCATTTAAATTAATCCAAGAGGCTACGTGCGGTGTTTTCCTTCTTCTGCCGTTTCACCGCATCCGGAAGCGACAGCTGACCGGAAGTGACGTCAGGAGTTTCCATTGGACAATTAAGGGAAACTTGTTATCAATGTGCTGGACAATGTTGTATAAATGACTTATTTGAACTAAATTGTTCATTTGCACCTTTGAAGAGAAAGAAAGATAAAAAGCATAATACCCATTGTGACTGACGTGCTTGTGAATCATCAGAATTAGGTTATTTTATTGTTCCATGGGATTTTCTGAAGAACAGACATCCCAATAAAACATGTTTATGAGAAAACACATGTCCAAACAACAGCCTTAGATAAAAAAAACACAAATAAGTCTTGAGCCACTCACTCTTTAAAAGAGCTCTATAAATTCGCGGCATACACCTCAAAACAAACAGACTTTAGTACAAAAGTCCCACTAACACGATCACAAGCAAAACAACCAGTCAATTATTAGTATTGGTGAATAGAATAATTAATGAATAACAATGATTCATTGCTGTTATTGTTTGTTCACAAGACGCATCACCATGAAATGGTGGCTAGGCAACTGTAATACATTAATAACTGACGGGAATAAATCACACACACACACACACACACACACACACACACACACACACACACACACACACACACACACACACACAACACACACACACACACACACACACAACACACACACACACACACACACACACACACACACACACACACACACACACAACACACACACACAAACACACACACACACACACACACACACAACACACACACACACACACACACACACACAACACACACACACACACACACACACACACACACACACACACACACACACACACACACGTTATAACCTATTAGAGGGAACTGCATATGCAAGCCTTTAAACTTGTTTTATGTAGACCACCCACAACCACAGGCGACCTTGCTAAAGGCCATGCACACACTGACACACAGGTGTTTTCCAATATTCTGGCTGATAGTTTTTTTAAGGTTAAAGAGTTTGGTCAACAAAAAAACATTTATGTCACTTACCTCTAGTTGTATCGAGCAAAGCAGACAGTTTGAGTTCCAAGGTAAAATAGCTCATATTAGTGACTCAATAGACAGGAAAACTGAGGCAGGAACTGGAGTCTTTACTTTAGTCAGATGATAAGAAGAACACATACTTGAAATGTCCAAATGTTAGTTGCTGCACAATAGCAAAAGCTCTTGCTGTAACCGTGTGCTCCAGATCTCACCTTTCAGATGTTGCAATACCTTTGGTGTTGAGACATTTTAATTGTGGTGCTCACAGCATTTAGATATTAAACAGCAATGTGTCAAAAACCAGCCTCTGACAAGCCATGGTCGTATAGAGGCTTAATGACACAATGTGCTACACAAATAAACTGTCTAGTTAAAGTGATTCTTGCTTCGTGAGTTTGAAAGGTCACCACCAATAGCTCTTTCCTCACTTGCACACTACATTTGTTCACTTTTCAGGTATTGTATGAGGAAAATTGAGGCAAAGTTTCTAGCCTGTTTTGATGTGGTTGTTCAAATTATTTTATACTGTTTTCCTGATCTTGTGAAGTCAAGGAATCACAATGACATACTTTCTCTTATGGAAACACACAAGCGTCACATTCAATTCATTCAAATGGCCTTGTTGCAATTCCTCCTACAGCCTCCATCAGAGTTCAACATTAGTGCTATTGTCTGGTACAACTTTCTCCTATAGTGTGTTTCTTTGTATCTGAAAACAATGTATAAGTACAAAGCAGTGGGGCCACAGCAAGTGCATGTACTGGAGCAGCAGAGAAGTCATGAATGCATGTTACAACATACCACGTAATGTGTAATGTTTTATAGCTTTTAAGAGAATACAAAAGACAAGTGTAATTCAAAATAAACTTTGTGAATTTATTGTTTTATACTTACTCTTACACATCATACAATCCTAAATCTTAAAAGAAAAACAAAATAAAAAGATATCTGGTGGTGTTTCTGGGGGTCTGGAGTGCCAAGGGACAAGAACTACAGCTGAACATTGTAGAGTTCGTTTGATGTCCCTCACGCTCATCTTTAAAAGATTTTTGCAGTGAAACTGAAATTCAAATCAGACTCATCACAACGGACAGGTTTGTCATTATTATCAATCAAAACCCTCGCACGATGAAGACATTGATTATGAACGGATGTGCTAAAGACGGGATTGAAGACATCAAAACTCTCTCGAAGCAACAGAACAGAAGGAAGGAAAATGTATATGTACTGATAATATCTATATATTATTTAAGCATGGTTGCCATAATTGATGGTGCCTTCATCACAAACAGACAAAACAATGAGTGATCAAACTGTCCTGAGTCGCAAGTAAGAACATTGTGTCTCCACCCAAAACAAAGTCAATATCAGGGCCTTGTAGTTCAGTAATTGACATTACAGCTGATTATGTGAATGATGGTAGTTTACATTCAAACGGCCCATGTTTATTAAGAACAAAGAAGGTAGGGGTTTGATATGAGCAGCCAATAGAAAACAAGTGTAAACCATGAAATCCTCACGATTTACACACCTGAACAATCATTCTAAGGAAATGACTTTTACTTTGAAAGGACTTTGAATCTGTATACGCATTTTGTTATGTGACATTAGAAATGGTCATAAACCAGGCAGGCAAGCTGGAATATTCAGTATAAGAAACACAGCAGGGGAAATCTAAACCTTAGAGCTGCTGCAAACACAAGTCCCCCTGAAAATGACGCTTTTTCTCTTATTAACGTCTCAGAATCCCCATCAACTCCTTTTGAATTTCAAGTTTCCACCAGTGGTAATTAAATCACAGTCAGGGGCTTTAGATGACCAACTTAACCTCAGGGTTGGTACACCGAGTCACAAAGCCATGAACACATGTCTGTCACCCACAGTCATACTTAAACAGGAAATGATGATCAAGTTTCCAATAAAAAGAGCCAGAAGTCAACTCAACCAGGTCCAACATGGAATTCTGCGTAAACAAGGAAAGAGTCCTTCACATCCAATACATTCTGCATTGGTGTATTTTGAAGAAAAAAAAAGACCTTGCAACTCTTCTACTGCTCTTTCATAAATATTTAATGATCAAGATCGAGCAACATTTACAAGGTAAGCTCTTGCTAATGAAAAGAAGAAACCTCAAATGCCCCTCTGCATCTCACAAGGGAACTTTCTAGCTTTCAGTATTATCACTACGCTATGAATAGACTTCAGTAACAGGATAAAAGCATGGACTGGGAGACTGTGTTATTCAGCAAGGTTAAGCTTAAGGGGCTAGTTAACAATCTGACTAGTATCGTAGAAAAGAGGCTTCATTGCCTGTGGGAGAAACTCTTGGTAATGATATACTTTGGACATAACATGGGCAGGTTCATAACTTGTAAATAAAAAAGGGAAACAAGATTTGGGGGAAAACAGATGAGTGCCATTTGTGGCACATTACATTTTTTGGATACTTGTGAAAAGCACTTTTATACACATAGTACTATTCATCACCATAGTCCCCCACCTTTATTACCTGTCAAAAATCTACATTAAGGTTATACTATATGAATAGGATCTGTATGGTATTTACATTTGAAAACAAAAACTCTAGAGCCCTGTTAACTTGAACCGTAGGGTTCCTACCATGCATTGTGCTACTGATGTGTGGCTTTTTAGACATTTCCGCTTCGTTTCAAACTGCGAAGCAACTCGTACGTCTGACTGCACGCATGCAGGTAAGTCGGATGTTCCTAGGAGAAGCTAGCTGGAGACGGCCTTGTAGTAAGGACTCGTCTGAATCCGAGCACATTGAAAAAGCACAGCACGCATCTCTGTAGCATTGTGACAATCTTTACTTTAGCTGAGCGGAAGGAGTGTCAACGTGCAGAGGCACCGCGACCCGGGTCAGTTTTCATCCAGCATGTGTCAGTGGTCTGCTGGTGGTTAGAGGAACATGGAGCTTTACTCTGACTCCAAAGAACAGAAAAGGGATTACTTAACAGGACGTCTCGTCAATCAGGCAATTTCTTTAGATGACCTGCTATACAGATCAACTATAAACTGCAAATGACCCAGATGCTGAATGAAACTGAGGTGTAGCGCATTATATGATGGTCTGCAGTTGACACCCTTTGTTGTGCTTTGTTTCCAAATCCAAAAACGATGGATGTTTTACTGCACAATTATCAACTGTAACGGCTTAACTGGACTCTACTCCATTATGTCAGAGCGTGTGTATTTTTTATTTAATGGTTATATAATAAAAATGGAAATTACTTAAATATAATTGAAACGGTTAAGTGCAAATCTTAATGATTTGCTGACACATGCGGCCAATCCTCCAGCACAGACCATCCAAACGATAAAAAATAAATAGAATGCAATCACACAATTCAAGCTAACTACAATATATTAATATAGATCTTCTGATGTCATACGCTCATTAAAACAGAAAGAAAAGGAGAAATAAAACACAGAACTCAATCACTCGGTTAAGTCAAGGTTCTCCCCTACCTTGCCCCTCCAATAACTGTTCATGCACCCGATATCAGTATGATAAGTAAATATATCAAAGAGAAACGCTTCTGGAAAATGCTGAGTCTTGGGAGTTCAACGTATGGTCGGTGAGAAAGGTAAGAGGAAAAAATCTGCCAATTTGACATGAAGTTGACATCATTTTCAGTCTGGGAGAAAACAACTATATTCCAAAGCCCTGCTTTTTTTTTTAGTTTAAAAAAACCAAAACACGTCTAATTGACCTGTGTGTCATTATCCAGGCTGGGACACATTCCTAAAAAGTCTCATTTCATCTGCCTTTAGGGATTGTATAAAAATAAACCCACACGATCCCCCAAGTTGAGAAACAAAAAGGGGTACAAATCTAAAAAGCCTTCCCTCCCCACAGCAACACTAATGTCCACCAGGCCCCTACGGCTCTCTCCCTGACTCTCAAGCAAATATGCACACACACTTTCATACAAACACACGCACACACACTCAGCTTCAGCCGCAGTCACTAGTGGAGAGAGAGGGAGATGCGAGTAAGGGAAGCATCTGGACAGTGGCTGCACCCCCACCCCGCCCCCCTTAGTCTACCATGAACATATGAAGCCATGATATCAGGTGTTTTCATCCAAGTCGCCATTGTTCAATTCATAAAGTCAGAGACTTTGTTTTGATGCACTCAGTCCTCATAACTTCTGAATTTTCTCAGCCACCACGATGGGGTTCTCCTTGCGTATGCGGGCGGCCGCTGCACTCCGGTAATCGTAGGGACAGTCGTGTTTGTCAGAGTAACGGTGGATGGCACAGAACAGGTTCCCACAGCGACAGTCGAAACCTTCAGGAAAGAGAAGCAACATCGTCAGACAAACCAAACAGCTTTGTTCAAGACATAATATCACATTTAAAGAGTTTGCACACTTGCTGCACTGACTTCAACGGGTTGAAAGGTTCATATCTGTTGCTAAACACCCAACACCAGTCTGAGTATACTGTGAAATACCTTGGACTGTGAAATGCGCCACTAACCTGCAGTATGTTGTTCTCAGTACCAAGTGTTGGGTCGATAGAAACAAACAACACAAACCGTGGAGTGGGAGTTGGACCTTGTTGGTTAATTAGAGGCTTCTGAGATAAAAGAAACATGACTCTTGCCGGTTTCAAAGATCAAAGTCAAAGCTCAGATGAGATGTGGAAGATATTTTAAAAACAACTTTTATCTTCTGTGTAGAAAGCTTAGGACCAGTATGTTCCACACATTGTGAAACCCCAAACTGACTTTTGGACACTTTGCACTAAAACTGACAAGACAAAAATCATTTAACCCATATACAAACAACAGAGACATACTCACATCTGCACACATACATGTGTATATATTTAACCGTCTTAACTCATATCTGTATACATGTACATTCAGCTGATCAGCGTTTTACCTTTCTTATTGTGACATTTTTATTTATAATGTTACTTACATGTTTTTATTTTATTTGATGCTTATTATCTGCTCGCATCTGTTCAGTCCTGTGTTTCAGTCTTTCTCTGCCGCTGTTATAACACCTGCATTTCCCTACGAGGATCAATAAAGGTCTATCTTATCTTAAATGCAAAAGGAGCATTATTATCCATTATTAAGAAAACGGCTTGTGTGTCAAACTGTTCTGAGATATGAACGACGTCAGGTTGAGGTTGTCAGGTAAGTAGAGAACCACTGCCAAGGTTCACGACTCACCATCTCTACTCTACTCAGTATGTATGAGTGTAATATCGACTTTCTTCTCCTCCTTACCTGTGAGGCCCACTTTCTTCCGGCAAGCAAAGCAGCGGTTCTTTTTCTTGTTCTTATCTGGAGTTTGGTCACTATCAGACAAAGCTTGTGCTGCTTCCCCGACTGGTTCTGGAGAAGAAACGCACAAACAAGCACAAAGGTCACAAACCAATCTGTCCATTACGTGTTCAAATATATACGTCAGCACCAAGATTACTATAGGTTAAAAGCCTATAAGTACAATACTTACAAAAACCCCTCATACACATTCAAAAGATATAGAATAAAAAGGGTTACCACTACGATTCAGACCTAATTGAAGTTTTCAAGATCTTGTATGACTAACAGTACTACAATATAACTTTAGAAGTGTTCTTTATTTCTCTTTTGGAGACAATTCCAGCAAGTATCCAATCATCTGATTCCCTCTCCTCCCATTTAGACATTTGGATAGTAATTTGTGATATTAAGGGACATCCCAAGCCAATCAGTGTGATGCAGAAGTAAACCTTGTAACCTGTCCTTGGCCCAAGGAAAAGTCCCCAGGTGCTTCAAATACACCTCCATTGTGCCTGTTCCCAAGCACGCCTCTCCAACAAGCCTTAATGACTACCGACCTGTGGCACTTACATCGACCATCATGAAGTGTTTCGAGAGGCTGGTCCTGGCTCGGCTTAAATCATGCCTCCCACCCACACTTGACCCCTACCAGTTTGCCTATCGTCGGAACAGGAGTACGGATGACGCCATCTCCACAGCACTACACCCTGCCCTCTACCATCTGGATCAGAGCAACACATACGTACGATTCCTGTTCATTGACTTTAGCTCGGCATTCAACACCATCATTCCTTCAAAACTGATTACCAAGCTCAGTGACCTTGGCATCGACCCCTCCCTCTGCAACTGGATACTGGACTTTCTCACAAACAGACCCCAGCATGTTAGAATAGGCAAGCTCACATCCTCGAATCTCATCCTTAGCACTGGTCTCCCACAGGGCTGTGTGTTAAGTCCCCTCCTATATTCCCTCTTCACACATGACTGCAAACCTGTACATGGCTCAAACACCATCGTTAAGTTTGCAGACGACACCACAGTGGTCGGGCTTGTCAGCAACAATGACGAGACGGCATACAGGGAAGAGGTTGAGCATCTGGCAGAGTGGTGCGCTAACAACAACCTGGCTCTCAACACCAAGAAGACGAAAGAGGTCATTGTGGACTTCAGAAGGAACAAAGACGGCACGCATCTTAGTGGAGAAGAGGCTGAGCGGGTCACCAGCTTCAAGTTCCTGGGAGTCCACATCCCGGAGGACCTCTCCTGGACCACCAACACCTCAGCCCAGTCAATAAGGCTCACAAGCGCATCTTCTTCCTGAGGAAACTGGCAAAACTCTGCCTATCCTCCCAGGTGCTAATGAACTTCTACCGTTGCACCATCGAGAGCATCCTCTCCACCTGCATATCAGTATGGTACGGTAACTGCACGGTCAAGGACAAGAAATCACTGCAGAGGGTGGTGAAGATCGCACAACGCATCATCAAGATGCCACTCCCCTCCATAGCCTCAGTCTATGAAAAGCGGTGCCTGCGAAGGGCACGAAACATCATCAGAGACTCTTCCCACCCCAACCATACACTGTTTATCCCCCTACGTGGCACCCGCTCTGGGACACGCTACCGCAGCCTCCCGGGTAGAACAAACAGGACTACGCACAGCTTCTTCCCTTCATCAGTCAGACTGCTGACAATGAACCCTACGCTGTCCCATACTGCCTAGTTGTTGTCGTGTGCTGTGCTGAAGCGCAATTCTGTATTCACTGTATTTATTATTATCTGTGTATTTATTCCTATTTATACATTTCCCATCTATTTACCTTTATGTTTGTATCATTTATTTTGGTACATACTTCTGATAATTGTGTATGTAACCGACTGTTTTGCACTCTGGTTAGACCATCCTTAAATTTCGTTACACTGTGCTTGCATTTTTGTAATGACAATAAAGTAATCTAATCTAAACAATAAATAACCCACATTCATGCTACACATTTGAGATACAACATATAATGAGAACTTTTATCTTAAATTCATCATCGAGTTTAATGTTATTCTTAATACAATGTCCTTACTAGGGCTGTCCCGAATACAATTTTTCGGGCTCCGGATATTCGGTAGTAATCAGCAGCGAATATACGGCCCGCGCGGGGGGGGGGGGGGGGGGGGGGTGGGGGGGGGGCATAGTAATCAGCAGCGAACCGCTTCAACACGTGTATTTTGGTGTATTCACGGCATTCATTTTGTTATTCTACAGTATTATTGTTTTATAGTTATTAACCCAATTTGTGTTCTTTGAAATTGAAAAGGATATCGCATTGTGTTTGTTACTTTCCTTGCAGTTGTATATGTCTTAAGTGTAATTTGGCTTGGCTTCCTTTTTATGGACATGCTTTTATTTTGAAGGAGAGTTAGCGCTGTTGACAGGAAGTTGTTGTTGCTATGGAAACAACGTGACGGAATGGAGAAAAGTCATATCTACATATAAAGACGGAGAAAGTAAACGATAACGTTTATGGTTAAGTGTTAGCACCCCCCGAACAAGCTCTTACATTGATATTGGAGATTTCAATATATTCAATTTGAAAAAAAAAACGGGAAAAAAACAAAAATAATATCCGAATAACAAAATTGAAACCCGAATAGTACTCCAACGAACGAATATTCGGGTACAGCCCTTACACTCTTATGGAGATGTTTATGGAGGAGGATGACAGGTGCGTCCCACGGCTTATGTTTTTATGCAACCCCTTAAAGAGCCTGTGACACGAGTTTCCCCCATCATCCAAACCCATCAATTTGAGTAAATATTGTCCCCTTGAAAACCGTTACTGAACTGATTTTGGATATTTGTACTTTGATAACCATTAATCTGCCCTTCAATGTTGACCATTTCCTGGATCTTCTTGGGGATTCTTCAAGACCCGCCAAATTATGTGTGACGTAATTGCGGGCCAAGAGCTCCAGCTGCACCGTTCAGGATCCCAGCATCTGCATGTAAATGCACGATGGCGCACACAGTAGCAAGCTCAGACAGCTCAGACAGTTTAATTTTGAACGTGTCTGAGAGCTCATATGAAGCTGAAGGATCGGTTTATGTTGTAAGTTTAGGAATTAGGTGCGTCAATATGGGCGATCATACGGTCATGTAGCCAGTGGTGGACTGGGACTAAAAATCATCTCGGGACTCTCGACCGGCCCACTTCGGTACCGCTAGTAAATTGTCAACGGGGGGAGTGGGGGATGTGCTAGTGACTTATCCGACCGGCCCACTTCGGTACCGGTCCATCGGGATTGGTCCCGATGGCCAGTCCGCGACTGCACCCAGCACACGTAAACTGTCAACGGGGGGAGCCTCGCTGCGGGGAAACGGTGGACCTAGTGTCCCGATCGGAGTGGGAATAATAATAATAATAATCCGTGCATTTTATCCATTAATTTCCCAACATTGTGGTAAAAAAACCACACGTTTAATCCATGTTGGTGTACTACAACTACAAAAAGCATCGGTTTGTTTTCTCATCAGGAAATGCAGACCGGCTCAAACAAACGATTTTTAATCATCATTCTCACGATCATTTAATCTATCATATGTTCGCCGAATTGACATGAAAGCACTAATTCATGTAGTTTCATCCACTTGAGTTTACAACTACAAAAATAATCGATTTGTTTTTATATCACATCCGACGGGAGGAAGTTCAGCAGCTCCGATTTTAATCCTAATGTAATCATCATCTTCACCACGATCATTTATGTTTATGTTCACCGAATTGACATGAAAGCACTGACAAATATGAATATACTGTAGTCAACTTCATTAAAACGTTATTAACGTGCCTAAACTCAGTAATTCACCATTTCTACGCATGACAACACACTTTGTCCGTGTTTGGCTCTCTCGCCGCACAGTGAAGCGTTCCCGCATTGACGTCACTTCCGGCTTCCCCCAAAACTTCAAAATGAGTCGAAGGAATTTCCCCGCGATGTTCGAAATTATTGATATTTATCGGAACGGTATCGCTTTTTCTTTTTTAAACTGACGGTTCAAGATGACTAGTAGCCCAATATTTCATTGCACAACAGTTGTTGGGAGGCTGTCACAGGCTCTTTAAGTACAGCTTCCTGTGTGACTCACTTGGGTAGGGGGCTGATTTGGTAAAAAGACCACTGTGTGATGTTTACCTGAGCTGTTGGAAGATCCCTCCTCTTCACCATCATCAGCCTCCGCTCGATCCGAGTCTACAGCTGCCGAATCCCGGGAGATGCTCATGGCGGTCATCTGTTGAGTTACTGGGCTGGGAGAGCTTGGACTGAAATCACAACAACAACAACAGAATAAATAAATCCAACCCAACACAATTCAAACAATAAAGAAGGTCTTTTTAACCACAGAAACAATGTTGCCACTTAAATCTATATACAATTTATATTGTTCGTGCTTTATTGTGCTGCATACATTGCCCCGTCATTTTGTTTGTCGATTGACTTCAGCTTTAATCCGCTTCAGTGCACTCCCTGAAGAGCCATCACAATCAAATTGACAAGACACAGGCTGCTAAAAACAGGCATGCACAAACTGAGACAGCGCATATATACACAGCACAGAGCACAATTGTCAATGATCACATTATAGACAGATCAGACACAAATCCCTCCTCTCATGGTTCCAACATTTCATCACACTGGGAACAAATGACTGTTTGGACTTCCCTGTGGAGAGTCTGGGAAGAATAAACCCATTACTGAAACAGCTTCTATGACAGGCATCCTCAAACTACGGACTCAGGTCCGGATCCGGACCGAACCACCACTGTCTCCGGACTCTGAGCAAATTATACTTTTCATATGTATGATCTCTCTGTATTATATGTGAGACATCGCCACAACGCATTCGCAACGAGTCAAAATTCTCCGCTATGTCCACTGCAAACAGCGCTCTGCATGTCTGACTGTTCCACTGTGTTCCACCTGTGTGTGTCAACGCTTTGGTCCAATCACATTCAGCATCCAGTCAGCGTTTTTTCCCCCCAAACAATCTGCGAATCAGAGGCACAGTAGGGCGGGTCTTCGCGGACTGCGGGTGGGAAAAATGTGTGTGTGTCTCTTTCAACCTGTCTAAGTCAGAGCGAGAATTAAAAAAAAAAAATTCAGAGCGAGAGTTAACAGCTCATCTAGTTCCATATGTACTGTAGCTAGTAGCCTAGTTTCACCTACCGGGGTGGCAACTGACACCCTAAAAATAGGCCTTGCCACCCCAGCTGCCACCCCAGTTGGCAGCTTTGTTTTGAAAGAAAAGTTGTGGCTCATCGGACATTTATGAGAGAAAGTCTCTAATGTCCGAGTGCAAGTGAATGCAGCACAAGATGCACGTCATGTAACCCCTCCCCCGGTCCTGGCGCGAGCGTGGACATACGATTGGCGGCGATTTCATTTTGAACTGGACGGCGCAAAACGAGAAGCATTCGGACCCAAGCGCTGAAGGAATGAGGTATTTGCGGTCTACAATGACAGAGAAGAGACTGTCAGTTTGACTGTACTCAGCATTGAATCAAAACGCACTAAAGCTGTTGATCTTAATACGTTTGTGAGGCGTTTTGCTGAACAAAATGGTAATCGCCGCATTCAGCTGTAATAGACATGCCAACTTGATGCTCTGCTCACGGATGAGCATACACAACTATTAAGATGATGACCTTACGTGTGTAAATATATTTTTTTCTTTGAGGGGGTGTGCCCCCAAAAAACTGTTTTAAGTCCTGAGAAAGTCAAATAAGACGGTGTGTAAAACTTCACTGCCCAGCCAACAGAAAGTAACCACTTTGATTGAACTAGGCCAGTAGGTAAGGACTTTCCACTGGATAATAACTGCAGTATAAAAGAATGCATGACTGAAGTGATGGAGACCATGTTGAAGGCAAACAAAAAGAGGAAATAACAGGTCAAATCAAGCAAATCCCCTCTCAGATTCTACAGCAACCAGAAGAACATAAATACTGGCTGGTGATTTGATTCATCAGCTTTGTGATGGAATAAAAAAATGCACAGTGCATTTCCTTAGCTGTGGGTGAGTCCACTGACACCACTGACAATGCTCAGTTGCTGTTTGTGAGTTGTTATGATGAGGCAAAGGGGGAGTTTGTTGAAGATGTGTTGGGCCTGACGAACCTCAGTGGACACACAAGGGGGCAAGACATTTATAAAGCAATAATGGGAATGCTGAATGAAAGAGGGTGCAGCTGCCTTTATTCATAACTGTGCAGCTCTTACACTGCGACTCTGAGGGGTCAAGCACAGACACAATAACAATGAAAACTGCTGCATACAGATTATTTTTGTTTTTGCAACCTCGTGTTAAGAATCTTGTTGCAATTGTTTAAAAGTTTGAATGACCGTAATAAACGGACCTTTGTCTTATTGAAACATTTATTTTGGACCTTTAAGATTTGTATTTGAGTACCCCTGTTCTATGATAACTGGGTTCATTATAAATGTTGTCCATCTGTATTTTCCAGGACACCCAGAGATGTAGCGATGGGTACCGAGCCCCGGTATTAAACGGGCCCCGAGGCTGAATTATTAAAGACCGTGGTACCGTTAATCTCCGACGTTATCGGTCTTTTTATCGGTACTGGAGACATGTCAAATATATATCATGTATTATTGCTACATAAACATTATATTGCAGTTTTAGTGTCGCCAACTCCGTTTCTAATATGCAATAAGACTACAAAATGCGTCTATGATTATTATTTTCGATCTTTCCAATCCAGACGAGAGATCTCTCTCTCCCCCGCCTGCTTGTGAGGGGGCGGGGCAGTTTACACACACGCAGCTGCTACATGCAGCAACACACACACACGGAGGAGATGGCGGAGAGGACACGCTCCGAGGTGTGGTTAAAGTTTACCCGTCTCGATGTGGACAATGCTCGTTACCAAAAGTGCAATAAGAGTTTAGCATGTAAGGGCGGTAACACGAACAATTTGTCTAAACATTTTGTAAAAGTGCACCGCATGCAGACGGAGGAATGCACCGGGTTCGACTGTCTTTCTAGCAGCTCTGTAGCTCCATCCACGAGTAACGTTTCCACGTCAGGTGTTATGTATGCTAGCAGCAACACACGGAGTTAACTACATTATACAAACATGGGTTAATGATTAGAGGAAACTGAGTTATTTATTTTGTTAAAGTTTCAGCTATTCTGTTCACAGTTCTGTCATCAGATTATTTAATATGATTTGTTAAAACATTGTTGTTTCTTTTGATGTGAAATATTATTTATTTAATTTAAATAAAAAGCAATGTTAGTTTTGTTCACAATTTGTTTAGTTAGTTTACCTTATTTTTTTCTCCAAAAGAACCGATAAGAGTACCGTTAAAAGACCGGATCGATAAGCGGTATCGATAAAAGTAGTAGTACCGTTAAAACCTTAACGATACCCATCCCTACCGAGATGTAGGCATGGGTCTTGGATAATATTACAATACAGTAACTGCTCAAATATTAATTCCTTTAGAAGTGTATCAGATTTTCTTCCTCTAATATGTATAACTGGTCTATTGTCACTGTTTGGTTTCTTTCCAGGAAATAAGAGTGGCATCTTTTACAAAATCCAACACAAACAAAACAACATATCTACTTTTAAAACAACGTCACAGAACTCCAACATCCTCATCTTAAATAACTGTTCTCACCCGTCACATAAAATATCCAATTATCTATCAATAATTAATTATTGGCGTAACGAAATCAAACTATACGGGACAACATGTTTACGGAAAACGGACGACGTCAGCAACAATGTGCAGCAGTTTGAAGAACTGGCCCTCTGACGAGTCTTTAAAACACAGACCAATACTCTTCAGCTCTCTTTCAGTGTCAACTTCAAACAAGAGAGCTCTGTATGAATCATTCAGCCTTTGTTCACAACTACAACAAATGTGTTTTAACTTTAAACCTTTGAAAAATAACAAAAGACTTGGTTCAAATGGCAAAACCAACAACACAGAGAAGGCGCTGGTCAGTACTACCCAATGACTAACCATCCATAACAACAATTCAAATAAAAAAAGGTAAGGTGTACCAAGATTGCTTACTGATAAGGATTATGTGTGTAATTGCACGGATAGAGAACATTTCGTTTGTTTACTAAAAACACACACAATATGGTTAGCATATTGTAGCATATTACTTCTCAACGTGTCTGAAAAGAGTTGTTTGGGACATAAAGGGCTTTTACCAGAAAGCGCAGAGTCATCGAGTTAAGTTCAAAATGTTTTTTCCAGAGGCCAGCCGTTAACTGAAGTTACTAATGGGAACACAGTGTGCTACAGCTTGTGATAAACTGATGTACTAATTATTTACTCGATTAAACAGGTATTTTCACAACATAATCAAATGTGAAATAGAGTGACGAACACCATCTACAAGTTTTCCAATTATTCTCATTGAACTTGTATGATCAGCTGATTTGAAAACAAGAAGTCTTCACAGTGAACACAGGATATTTTGTATCAATTGATGAATACAAGTTTAAATGACCCTCCACTTTTTCATCTGTCCATCAACATACCTTGTTGTTTGTTCCTCAGGTGGGGTTCCTGCCACCTCTGTACTGGGCTCTGAGGTTGAACTCTCCACAGTCACACCAGCTGATCCCGGTGATCCTGCAGGTGATGTAGCAGCTGTGGAGGACAGAACAACACAATAGTATCAACAACACAGAACCTTTTGTTTATGGCCTTTCAGTGAGTCTCTTGGTATCCTAATATAAGCCACTCATCTTTTGTGTTTGTCTCATATGACCAGAGTTGTTTTGATTGAGTTTGAGACAACACATGGAGTCGCTCTCTTGCTTTCTGAGGCCACACAGTTGGCAGAAAATGCTACCTCTGTTCTCCAACCCCTTTTAGCATGACTGTACAGTTTTTGGGTGACCCCGTTCCATCTTTTTACCTTTCTCTCCCGGGGGGCTGGACCTCCCCCCTCCCTGTTGTCTCTGCAGGTTTTCCTTGTAGCAGACCGAACACATGCCGTTGTTTCGGGGGTTACCATAGAAACCACATCCCATAGTGCAAAGCATTGGCAACTGCGTCTGATTGGTCTCCTGAGCCATGCTCTGACAGAGGGGGCAAGGGGGGATGGGAGAGGAAATTCCTGAAAATGAGCAGAAGTGAGTCCAAATGATTAGCACGGTTATTCATATTTGAAGTTTAAGAAGGTATGGAGACTGGTTTTGGAGCATGACAGTTGAGTTTGAGAAAATAAAATGTATTAGTTACGGACCTATGGGTAAAACCTACTAATTGTAGCTGTCAAACAGGATCATACCTTCATCAAACTAAATGCAGTCCATGAACAGAGTTAAGTCACTAAACTGTACATTAAATATATTACTTAAGTGACCTGTGGGGTAATGACTTTCTTAATGTAGCTGTAATTAAGGTTTTTTAACAGAATCATACCTACAAACTAAATTCAGTCAAACACCATAAACATATTTAAAAAGTCAATTTTAGCCATTCAAGCAGAACTGTAAATTGTCATTCTGAACAATTCATTTTGACCAAATTGTGTTTCTACATTTTTGTAAAAGGCCAAATACCAAAATACGATAACAACAAAATACAATATAAAAAGTATCACTTATTAATGACATGCTCCTCCAGGAAAATGTGGACAATGGTCTGGGAGTTTTGAAGTATTCAAATACAGGGTTGTCACAAAGCTAAGTGGGGAGCTGTGCACTTAATTAAACATAAAAACACAAAGAAAGGGTCTCAGTTTCACTGAACAAAACAAGCTACAGGCGAAAACAGCTAGCTAGATGCTTTCTTCCACCGCACAGCAAGATGTTTTGGTCAGGATAAAGTTAACAAGCAGAAACTAAAGACAGGTCCACATAAAACCCTCCAGGAAAACTTAAACAAAGCCTGCCATTGAGCGATTACCTGTCAAACGATACGTTGGTTACAGTCTAGCTCAACAACTTACAGCTGAGTGTTTGAGTTTTTCCGCAGCAGAAAACAATCGGGGTCCTATGCTTGCATAGCTGAAAGCAAACACTGTATTACATTAGCAAACAGCCTCGCTGGACGTTTTGTCTGTCTGACACTAGAAACCAACACAAAGAGAATAACAAAAAACCCGTGGTAGCCTTAAATCATGGCTAAGGTCAAGAAAATAAAAAGAACAGCGTCCATAGCGACAGATTGTTTACACGTATTATGTTTTAAATCGAATAAACCCTAGTGTTAGCAGCAGGCTAGCGTTAGCTCCACGGCTAGCATAATCAGCGAGCCCCAAAAACAGAGCCCTCGCCGACAGTGGGAGAGCCGGTTTAAAGTCGGTTACAGACACCGTGAGTCTCCCATAATTGTCTAAGATGAAGACGGTACCTTAAATTCAAGTTACCGGCGGCTGTCGACGACCTCGGGCTTCAGATTTGTACAAGTTTTGTCCACAGTAGAGCGCGCGGCCTCCTACCCTGCGCTAGCTCGCGACATTCGAAACAACGACCATGACGTCATCCTCGGCATCGATTCAGCCTTCAGTCAGTGAGGCCAGCACAGCAAAGTCCACCAACATCAACACCCCAACAAAATAACATCTAAAAAAACCTCAGGAATAACACCTTTATCAATGTGTTCAAACATGGCAACAACATTGTACTTTGACTCATTAGCTCAATCCAAAGTTCAGAGACAAGATACTGAAGTAAAATATGCACATCTAAAAACAAATGATAAACCTATGAACTATACATCTTATTACTTATTCTTATAACACATGGTTTTTGCAGTCAAGCTGTTGTACTTGCTGAGAAAACAAAATACTAGAGCTAGTTATGAGCTATTATGAACTGATTTACTCATTATTCGGTAGCTTACACAAGCACTATGTACAATTGATCAGCCTCTTAAAATCACGAAGTGTCTAAGGTTTACACAGGATATTGGGTTTATAATTAAATAACTAAAACATTAAATTAAACAAAGTCATCCTCAGCATCGATTCAACCTTCAGTCAGTGTGGCAAGCAAAGTCCACCACCCCAACAAAAAACAACTCAAAAACTCAGGAATAACACCTTTATTAATGTATTCAGCCATGACATTACTGTAAGGTAATTAGTATATGTACAGCACTTTGGCTCGACCACAAATCGTTTTTAAAATGTGCTATATAAATAGAACTTGATTTGATTTGATGACACTAATACTGTACTGTTTTAAAATGTCATTGACATGTCAGCTCATTAGCTGAATCTATCAAAGTACAGACACAAAATACTGAAATAAAAACTGCAAATCCTTAAATAAATGAAAACACTATGAACACTACATCTTGTTAAAGCTGTGTTGAAAGACAATTTTCATTTGGATTATTCTTAAGGAATTGCTTTGACTTCTTTTAAGGCACTATTAAAAGTCTTTCAAATAGCAGTATGAGAGGATACATACATTGATATGTAAAAACACTATAATCTTATAGGAAACATAATTCACAAACTAGTTTTCAAAGGCCACAGGTCAGTGCTTTTGGTTATGATTGAATTCCATTAACTTGTATATCACACATACAATAATTAGTGCATAATGTAGAAAACATTGATGAATGAAAGGCCTTTTTTCATTAAAACAAGCATATTTATGTTTAAATGTTGCATCTAAAGTACACAGACGTCTGTCATCACCTTGAATAACTCATGAACACAACAAAATCTTGAAGTCTAGTCGTGTGGTTTGCTCGGCTTCATTGCCACTGCTCCCTCTGCCCTCTCAGTGATCTGTGGAGCAAAAGGTCCCACCAGCCAGTTGAGTGGTGTGTTGTTCAGTAGATACTCCATGACACCATCCAGGGACTGTTTAACCTGGGAACAAGGACATACTAGTATCACTTTCAACAATATTACTAAACGATAATCTGATCAGAAACTCTACCTAAAAAGTAAGCTTAGCTTGTTGGTAGCAGGAAATACTGAGGTTTAATGTGCACACTAAATACAATATACTGTAAGCTTGACTGTCCTATGTTCAGTAATGCATATTAATCAGCAGACACCCCTGAGATTGGATGTTTGGTTATGTAAAGTATGCAGCAGTTTTCTGTTTAATTCTTGTTCAATAAGACTGTGGGTATTATTCCAGCACCAATTTAAAAGGTAATGGAAAGACCAACTGCGTGAAGTAATGGCAATGAAAAAAGGCAATAAAACTTCAAGCAAAAAACTATATTTAGCTTAGCTGATGAAGCAAAACTAAACACTGCGGTAAAGACAATGTGGAGCAATTAGTACTTGGTTCAGGTTTTGACGGCTCTGCTCCAGGAGGAGGGGTGTGATGGTGCTGGTGTTCCCCAGAGAGGCGTGCAGTTCTTCAGCAGATCGCCGTGCGCTGGTCAGCTGGTCCTGGACCGCACCTGGCAGACCCTGAGCACTCGACACCACGCTGGAGCACGCTGACTTCAGCTGGTCGCTCAGACCCTGCACCATGGAGAGGACCCGCCATTCCAGCTGCTGTGAACGGAAAGGTAACAAAAATGTTTGATCACAATAAAATTAGATTTTTGATTTATTTTATTTTATGGGAAGTCAACCGGAGTTTATTGTAAATGTTTTACTTTAAGTTGAACTAAACAGCATCTCTGTGAGTGCTTTTAGTGTGTCAGACACCCTCACCTAACCTCAGGCGGATTCAGAAAAATGAAAGCCCAGGATTTGCCACAAGAAGCCTTCCTTAGGCCAGGGTAGTTTCCCCATCTTATCCCAATTCAGCTGACACAATGTGATATATTCAGGCTCCATCCTACCTTAAAGAGCTCATAGTACCCACCCACTAGGGTATTGCGTTCCCAGAATGCAGGGTTATTAGTGGTCCCTAGAATCTTCATCAGTACAATGAGAGCCAGAGCCTTCAGCTATCAGGCTCCTCTTCTGTGGAACCAGTTCTCTGTTTGTTGATGAACATCCTCTCGTCATTTAAGAGTGGGGTTAAGACTTTACTTTTTAATAAAGCTTAAAGTTATGGCTGGCTCAGGCTTGCCTTCAACATAATCCTGGGTCTTACATTTCATTTGATTGTACTTCATTTTAAATGTATTTATTTAATTTATATTTTACATTCACATTACAATGTTGTCAATTGGATAGTCTATGTTGTGATTTTTATTATGTATTTATATTTTAATGTGAATCTTTGGGGGCATTACAATACAATATCAGCCTCTAAAATAAAAGTCGGACTTCCAAGACTCTTGCTCTGTTCTTATCACTGTTATGCTATAAGCTTTCTTTCATTTGTTAAAGTGGTACTCCAAGTCACTTTGGACTATACATGCTGCATACAGTATGTGCGGCATACACACTCTAAATGCAATCAAATGCAAACATAATCCTGATAGAAACCATTAAGACAACTCCCAAAGCTTTAGCCCTGACCTCAGCCTCATCTCTGGTCCCATCTAGCTCGGACTCGGTCAGTCCAGCTCCAGCCTGCTTCTGCTTCCACTCGGTCCAGCGCTGCAGCAGCTGCTCGGAGGCTCCTCCTATCTGGTTACTGGCGGTACCCAGACCTGTGCGAGCAGTCTCTAGCAGGTCCAGAGTACTGGTAATCTGAGCCACTGTAGAATAGGTGGCATCCCTGGCATGTCGTGCCCGGCCCAGGGAGTGCTGCAGGGCTCGCTCCTGGACTTTGGCTGAGAGTTTCCCCAAGCGGACAAAGTAGCTGGGGGGGGTGGTTGACGCGGTCACCTCACTGCTGGCAGGTTCAGCCACAGCAGCTGAAAAGGAAAGTATAAATCTCATATTCTCAAATGTGCCAATAAATGTTTAATACATAAATTAAGCATTACATATGTAGATGGGAGCACAAAGGTCTAATTATAGTTATATATGTTTTTACATGGCTTTGTTGAATACTCCATTCTGATTGTTCAATTAGAGCATTTTCCGGTCTATTATTCCATTATAGCAGACTGCTGCTATGAATAACAGACCAATGCTATGGATGGAGTACTAATCTCTGAAAACAGGGCAGCAATACTATCCTTTTTATTGAAAATAACTAATATCATGTCTCAAACTATTCATTTATTAAATAAGTAGCCCTGTAATAAGTGGGATAACTCTTGATCATCCTTTGTCCTATATATTTAACTGCCAAATGAAGAAGTACACTAAAGAAACTCACATGTACATTCTGTATAGGCGGTGGTGGTGATGGTTTGAGTGATGGATGGAGCAGTGCTTATTGGTGTATCTGTTACAAGTTGGACTACTTGACTCTGTAAGAGTTAAAACCCATCTGCTCACGAGGACAAACATACTTGAAAGCTACCTCAGCTCCCCCAACCATCAGTCCGTGGAAGCTAAGGGAAATGCAAAGTCTGCCGGTGCCTCTGTTTAAAGCCACAGTGACCACTGAACAAATCCAAAATCCCCTGAGTACTGCCATCATAGGTACTTAGCTGCTCCCACTGATAACAGTAGCAATTGCATAATTTGTATATCCATCATTCATCAGAGAAGAGGATGGCCTCTTGAGTATTCCTGCAATATTGGAGTATGGCAGTGTCCGGATACAAGCGGATACAAGCGGCCGAGATGGGTTTTCTCCGCAGGGTGGCTGGTGTCTCCCTTAGGGATAAGGTGAGAAGTTCGGTCATCAGGGAGGGACTCGGAGTTGAGCCGCTCCTCCTTCGCGTCGAAAGGAGCCAGTTGAGGTTGTTCGGGCACCTAGTTAGGATGCCACCTGGGCGCCTCCCTAGGGAGGTGTTCCAGGCACGTCCAGCTGGGAAGAGACCAAGGGGTAGACCTAGGACCAGGTGGAGGGATTATATCTCTTCGCTGGCCTGGGAGCGCCTTGGGATCCCCCAGTCAGAGCTGGTTGATGTCGCCAGGGAAAAGAAAGTTTGGGGCTCTCTGCTGGAACTGCTACCCCCGCGACCCGACCACGGATAAGCGGGAGAAGATGGATGGATGGCAGTGTCAGGGTTGAGTGAGGCAAGCAGGACCCAAATGCAGATGAACAGAAAAAATACCTTTATTTCAAGGCTACTGGAACAAACTTCGACAAAACAGTACTCTCACCCCGTGAACAACGTCCAAATACGACAAGGAACTCACAAAGACTAACAGAAAACACATAACCTAAATACACCCAGGACTAATCAAACAAACAAGAGACAGGTGAGGAGGGAGGAGAAAACACAGGGGCACCAGGTGAACACAATCAGACAACTAGACACACCAGGGAAACTAACGACAGGAGGAAAAACACAGGGAAAAGGACCAGACAATATACCAAGAGGAAAACATGACAGGGAGAACAGCAAAACACCCAAAACAAGACATACAAAACGTGACATAACACAATAATCGTAACAGGCAGGTTGTCATGATAACATGACATCACCGTAGCAGGTGTCAAAGCAGTGAGTGTTGGAAATTGAGGGTGCTTTATGGGCCAAGTTAACAGAGGGCAATTTCACTGGAATTCCTGCTTCCCTCTCTATGAATAGCCCAAACCATTTATGTGTTGAAATCAAATTACGG